CAGTGTCCTTCCTGCCTAAAGATGACACTGCTGATAGCATCGCAGCTCGTGGGAGGTGAGGAAGATCGTCTTTCCCAGGACGCTCATGTGAAGAGGCCTTGGGTTTTCAGATGTGACCACCATGGGGCTACTGTGCTGCCTCTGCTAAACAGGCTGCCCAGGTGGTTCTGCTGCTTGGGGTCGCTTTGTCTCTCCTGCCCCTGCCAGCCTTCCTCGGCTCAGCCTGTAGTACCATTCAGCTGGTCACCCACCGCTCCGTGCTGTAACGAGCACTGATCTGGCTCTGTCCAGGACCTCACTGTGGATGAGCCTGCCTGATCAGTGAATGTCCAGGGTGGCTTGCAAGCAGAGCTGATGGGATGATTTGAGAAGCTAGCTAGATGCACTACCGAGAGAAGTGGAGGCTCCAGCCTCGATGAGTGTGGAGGGGACCACAGCTGGGCTTGCCCAGTCTCTGCTGCTCGCCCCGCCCCCCTCTCAGCCAGCATGCTGATGCAGATTGCCTCAGCGGGAGGAGTCTGTGGCAGCTTTCAGCCCTGTATCAAGGAGTCTTGACTGGATTGTGGTGTCAGCGAGTCCCTGACCTGGTGGTTTCAGGCTCAGCATTGCTGTGTGGTGTGCCAGCTTCCCAGCCCCACGCGCGTGTTCTTGCTAATGGTGCTCGTTCTCGCCTGCCAGGAGAGAATCTCTTGGGCGATGTAGCTAAAGGAATGGAGTGATGTTGGTTTAGTTGGTGTTCAGGGAGGTTAAGGAGCCACGGGGGCAGTTTTCATTCCCCTGACGTGGCTGCCGTAACTGTGGATTCACCCAAAACCTCTGAGACTGTCAGAGCTCAAGCCAGTTTGATGGAATCCGTGGAATGTTAGGGAAGGTGTTGACTTTCACAGAGCCCTGTCCCTCTCCCTGCGACAACTTGTCCTCTGACCTCTTCGCAGCCGAAGGCACAGGGCAGTCCCAGAAGCGCTCAGTTGTGCAGGTGAGATCGCTGCCACCGTCGCCCATCTCTGTCCTTCACGAGACACCCGTGATGTGGTGCTGGTGAGGCGCTGTCACCCCGCCAGTTAGCTGTCCTGCCTCTGGGGAAGTGCTGTGGGGATTTCAGTCTGGTGACAGTCAGAGGTCACTGTTTCTGGGTTCTTTAAGTCTGGCAAAGCTCTGCCGCCGCTGTCAGCTGGTCTGTGCTTCATGAGAAGAGAAGGTCTTTGGGAACCTTCTGGTTGGCGGTGTGGAGCCAGGGCCTGATCTCACACACCCTGCCTGGTTGCCTGCCCTGTCTGTGGGCATCTGCTTCCAGACTGGGGGCTTGGAGCTTCCAAACAGCTCATTTCATTTCCCTCACTTTCAGGCTAGAGCAGAAGCGTGCCCTGCTCCCCCCTGACCGGGCCTCCCTTCAGGCGGGGCGTGGTGACGAGAGGCTCTCGTAGTCCCTCCTCCTTCCCTCCTGGGGTCTGCACTGGGCGTGGGAGGCTCTAGGTGGTCGTGGCTGGGTGGCTGGGCTCGGGCCATGTTTGGAGCACACTGCCTGCCTTCTCAGCAGCCCTTTCGAAAGGCATGCAGTTACCTCCACCTTAGTTTTTCTCTTTTTTCATTTTACCACAAGACAGAATTGTATCACACATCTCCAAAACGAGTAAAATGGCATTTCAGCTTCTTGTCTTTATAGACTCTCTGAACTTTAGGAAAGATCATTCTGGTCCCTTTTCATTAATAATGAAAACCAGGGGGCAATAAAATGTTCTTAACGGGAGCATGGCAGGAGCGAGGCGCTGTGCGGGGTGAAGGGTGCGGCTGGCAGAGAGCCACAGGTGTTTCTCGGTGCTTGAGGAGGTCAGAGCTCTGGGAAGGTGGGGGCAGCTGCAGGAGAGGTCCTGGTCCTCAGACCCTGACCTGCTAGCCACTGTTCAGTCTTAGCCACTCCGGTACCTGGATGAGAGGCTCCCTGAGGTGCGGCATGTTTGCAGGAAGGGGTCCGGCACACTCGGTTCTGGTCTGGTTGTTGCAACTATTTTTTTTGGTAAGGTATTTAGTGGGTATTTGAGAAACTACTGGTGAATATAAGACTCTGGACGTGTGCTCTTTTTAAAAAGTATTTTTAACTGATTTTTTTAGAGAGAGGAAAATAGAGAGAGAAACATCAATCAGTTGCCTCCTGCGGGTGCTTCAGCCATGGATCAAACCCACAACCTGGGTATGTGCCCTAACCGGGAATTGAACTCCCACCTTCTGGTGCACATCCCAGGACAATGCTCCAACCAGCTGAGCCGCTTAGCCAGGGCCACGTGCCCCTACTGTAGGTGCCTTCTCTGAGGGTTGGCTGCACAGATGGATGTTCTGGGTGTGGACCATAGCCCTCTTGAATGGTGACTCTCTTGAAGAGTGGAAAGGTGGTACAGTATTTTCACTTTTTCCTCAAAAAAGAACTTGCCCTTGATGTTGAATTTTGCAACAAGGCCGTCCTAGAAGGGGAGGTCAGATTAAGAGAAAAGAGAGGCTTGCCTGGGACAAAAAGCTTCCGGGCTCAATTTAACAAGCGGCTATTGCTTATCTGCAAAGATTTGTGTTGGATGGGGTGTCGCTACAGGTCAAAGCAGGAGAGAGCCCTTCCAGAGATGCTTCTTAGAGGTGAGCACTGAGTATCCCTGCACAGCCTGGAAGGGGTGGTGAAGACCTGGCCGCCATAGCCCAAACCCCGGAGCCCATGAAGGACAGATGATAGTTTGTGTAAATAGGAAAACACCCTCCTGCCACAAGCACCATAAGCAGAGTCCAAAGAAAAGCACAGGAAAGATCGTCGTAACTCCTGTCATGGAGAAAAGAGCCTGCAGCCCTGAATGTGCCCCTTTTTTATTTTTTAAGATTTTTTTATTGCTATTTAGAGGGGGAAGGGGAGCAAAAAGGGGAGAAAGCGAGAGAGAGACAGAGACATTGATGGGCTGCCACCTACACCCCACCTACCAGGGATTGAGCTCACAGCCCGGCCATGTGCCCTGACTGGGAATCGAACCAGTGACCTTTCAGTGCACAGGACTAGGCCCAACCACCTGAGCCACACTGGCCAGGGCTGAACTTCCCTTTTTGGTTTCAGTTTTTGAACAGGTAACACTCACATGTGGTCACTCATGGAGAAATATTGCAAGTCCATATAAAAAGTTTCTATAAATTATTAAGGAAGTGGATAAAGAAATGGAGTAGGAAAGTATGGAACGTGTACAGTATACTGACAAGGAAATACAGATGAAAAGACGCTCCGTCCTCACTCCTAATAAGATAAAGCAAATTAAAACTGGAGTGGAGTACTGTTTTCCTACTCCTGTAGTGGCCGAGTGTGCTGAGCCTACTGTCGTGTGGTTATGAGGGAACAGGTGCTTTGTGGACGGGGCTGGGGGGCCGAGGCAAGCTCATGGAGCGCGGTTGTAGCATCTCTCAGAATTGCAAGTGCATGTACCTCTGACCCAGCCTCCTAGGTGTTCACAGTTACAGATGTGCTTACACGTGTATGTGAGATGACTTATGTACATGGTCACTGCCAGCAGGCAGCTTCATGGGAAATAGGAAAAGACTAGAATTATGTAAACGTTCATCGGAAGGGGATTGGTTAAATGGAATATTGAGCAGCCTTAGGAAAAAAAGAAGGATGAGAAATAGGGAAAATAGAGAAGGAAAATAGTACATATCTCTGTTCCCTTATATGTGCGTTAAACCCCCCGGCCAGATAAACAAGAGGGTCTTAGCAGCAGCTGTTGGTGGAGGAGCCTGTTGGTGGAGGACTGAGTGTGCTACTTCGGGCTGTGGATGTGGAAGCACCTTGCAGTCGTGTGTGGGAATGACTGTGCAGTAGAAGACTCCTGTCCTCGTGGAGCCAGAGTCGTGGGGAGTTTTCGTTCAGGCTGCTCTGAAGAGGGCTGGCCAGGAGCTTGCCCTCCATGAAGGCTGGCTGCCCACTTCCGGGGTTCCCCCACGACAACAGCACATGGTCCTGAGCCGCTTCCGGCCTGGTCCCAGCCCCCCTTGGTCCCAGCCCTTCTTGCCTGTTGTGGCGCCTGGCACTAGCCACCTCCCTGCTCTCTCCCCACTTGGAGCTGCCCTACATTCTCCCTGCGAGAGCTGGCCTCACACCCTTCTTCAGACCTTCTGCTTGTGAATGACTTTGGGGTCCCTCAGTCATGCGCTTGGCCTGGCCCTGCCTTCCCCACCCCTCCTGCCCAGCCTTACTGGACCCCTGTCTGTTCTTGGGGCTCTCTTGGCCGTGGTAGCCCTTCCCACTTGGTCAGGCCCACATGCTCCTGTCCGCGCTGGCTGCCTTCTGTCCTTGGAGCACAGGTCTGCCTGAATTTGCAGTTGCTGTTGTCTTGCCTGGACAGCTCTCCCCTGGGACCCCAACAACCCTGCCCAGCACCCCTGGCCCTTCCTCTGCCACCCCCCTCTCCCAGCACCCTGTTTGGCCTTCTGAATCTCTCCGGAGTCAGCTTGTTCCATCATCTGTCGGCTGTCTCCTCTTCACCGGCTCAGTGGGAAAGCAGAGCAAGACAGGGCAGGGGGCCTCATCACCGCTGCCCCTTCCCGTACCTGCAGCTCTGCCAGGCACACAGTCCACCCTGTCCACGCACCCCCGCTTCTGAAGTGGCTCTAGCTTAGCCCTGTCTGTAGCAGGGCATGTGGCCGTGTATTTCTGCACATCTGAGTGTGTTTACGTCAGCCTCGCTGGGGTTTTCCTGTCTTGGCATGGACACCGTGCCCTCTGTCTTCAGATCGCCTCAGCCACATGGCCCCCAAGCCAGGACTGAGCTCACTGTAGACACCACACAGCAGGTGCACAGCGAGGCAGGTAGTTCCGAGAGTCTGGAAGGAGGAGGGAGGCGTGGCTGGGCCGGTATCTCTCATGGTCACACCGCCTCCTGCAGCTGGAGTTGCCGGTCTTTTGAGACTGAGCATGTGTGCTCTCTCTGGCCTGGGGAAGGACGTGTGTGCCTTGTCTCCTGACATGCCTTTTCTCACTACAGGCCCTGGGGGTTCCCGATGGAGAGACTACAGTGCCTTGGCTGTCATCATGGCGGGCATTGCATTCGGCTTCCACCAACTCTACAAGGTCAGTCCGCCTTCCCATGGCCCCTGTTGGCATGCAGCCCCATTCTTCCCTCTCCTGAGCTATATCTGAATGGAGGCTCTCACCCCCCAAAAGCCATTGCAGGAGTGGGGCTGTGCATAGAGGCAGAATGTCCTGCTGAACATGCTCTCTGGAGGTTCAAGTCCAGGTCCTGCCCCACCCTGGACAGGTGCACTTGGCAGGTTCAGACCCCACCTCATCCGCTGGACTTGGCATCTCTCCTGAGAGTCCCTGCCCCACAGGTGACTGTGGGCCCATCAAGCCGTAAGCCATGTTAAGTACTTAAAACAGTGCCTGGAACATGCTAAGCAGCCCCCATTTAAGAGGCAGGATGACACTATAAGGGCTGAACAGTGGAGCCCAGCTGCTTGTATTACATCCTGGCTCTTCCATGTGCTAGATGTGTGACCACAGGCTCAGTGGTCTCATCTGTAAAATGAGGACAATAGAACCTACCTCATGAGGCTGTGGTGAAGCTCAGAGGTGCTGCTTTGGGGGAATGCTGTGGCCTGGCTTACAGGAAGTGCTTAAACCAGCTTTGAGCATCTCAGCATAATCTTATTGATGGGATCTACTTTTATCTCTTACATATTGTGCTGGCATCCATGTGAATGTAGGATTTCCCCGACTACCCAGTCAGCCCTCAGGACCCAGAGGTCATGGCTAACAACAGAACTGCAGGCATGAGTGAGCATTCACGGCCTTGATCAGATACTAACTACCAGGTGCTAACTTTGATTGATTGATTGATTTTTTTCCTTTATTGATTTTAGAGAGAGGAAGTGAGAGGGAGAAAGAGAAACATCGATGAGAGGGAACATTGATTGGCCACTTCCTACATGTTCCTTACTGGGGATCCGGCCCACAACCTGGGCATGTGCCCTGACTGGGAATTGAACTGGCGACCTCTTGGTGTATGGGTCCATGCTCAACCACTGAGCCACACCAAATGGACACTAACTTTGATTTAAAGCGGATGAATCTCTTGCCCTGGGCGGTTTGGCTCAGCGGTTAGAGCGTCGGCCTGCGGTCCAGAGAGTCGCAGGTTCGGTTCCCACTAAGGGCGCGTACCTCGGTTGCAGTTTGTCCCCGGCCCTGGTTGGGTTGTGCAGGTGGCAGCCACTCGATGTCTCCCTTTCACGTCGATGTTTCTCTCTCTCTCTCCCTCCTGTTCTATTTGAACAAAATACGGAAAAATGTCCTCGGGTGAGGATTAAAAAAATAATAATAAAATAAATAAATAAATAAAGCAGATGAGTCTCTTCTAGCAGATGCAGTGCTAGGGTGGGTCCCAGGAGCAAAAGGTAAAACACGGCCAGAGGACTGCTCTCCCCTGGTCCTGGTGAGAAGCTCCTTTCCTTTCAAGGCTACCTGCTCCCACACCCCCTCTTCGGATATTATTTTTAAAGAATCTGCATGAGCAGCCAGGTTCACTCTTGTAACTTTTACCACACAAAACATGTTTCAACATTGCACTCTGGGACTCTTAATTTTTGACTTAGTACAAAATCTAATGACAGACTTGTAGCAGAATATATTTTTTTCGATGTAACATGTGTTCTTGGAGTTGGAAATTTCCATCTCAGAAACCCAGAAGCAAAATGCTCTGCGTCCTGGGACGCCCCACTCCGACTGGATGCCTCCCCTACCTTGTGTGCAGAAAGCCTCCCCGATCACTGACTGCACAGTCTCCAGGAAGAACATGCTCACGAGACTGTCCAGGCCGCACTCTAGGCGGCGACCACCAAGTGGCTGCCGGGCCGGCCGTGATCTGACGGGCGTGCAGCAGGAGCAGTCGCTCACGTGGCGACAAGAGAATGTCTAAAACATCTGCCCATAGTGTCTTTAAATTTAAAAAAAGAGAGGTCAGCTGGCATCTTGTTTTATAAATACTTCAAGCTTTGGGTTGGGGTCGTGTGTGTGCCTGCTCTCGGCATATCTGATCTCAGAAATGGAATCTTTAGTTCGTTATATGTGTGAGGCTTTCTTGACTTTTATACTTAGGGAATTTTTAACCTGGAGCGTAAGGCTACATTTGATGAGTTTCGGCTCAGCTGTAGATAATAACTCACACGGTGGTTGAAAAGCACTTTGCAAAATAGAAAATGCTTCTGCACATATGCTAAATAATGATCTCCACTCAGGAGCTGCTCTTGGAGTGCGTTCTCCCACAAACCCCTGTGAGAGACCTCCTTTTCCTTTCCAGTTCAGAACCCTTAATGGAGAAGTTGCTGTCCGTCGTCCTATCTGGGGCCCAAGTGGAGTAAGAGCCAGAGTTCTCCTTGGCCACTCCAGCCAGTCCCCATGCCTGACGGCCTGCGGGCGCCAAGCGGTGCCGTCGTTCAGTGCGTGCCTGGCCTCAGGCTCTGACGTGGGAGGGCGCCAGGTCCTGCCTCTGGGCCTGCGGAGCGCATGTCCTTTCTCAGCTCTCCCAGCGCCCCTGCTGCCTGCCTGCCACCCCTCTGCACCTGAGCCGAGGGCAGTTACCAGCTGCGCCCCACCTTCTTTCTTCCTGAGTGCTCCGCAACCTCATCCTCCCTAGTCTGGTTTCCCGAATTCAGGCTCCTGCTTGGTTGCCCTTTCCCCCTGTGGTCACTTTCCTCAGGTTCTGGCCCTGCCTCTCCCTTCTGCCCCTGGGCCTCAGTTCCGGGGCAGTTGGACTGCACCTGACTCATAGCTGAAGGAAGTTGGTTCTTCGGATTCAAGGCTTAACTTTAGAAAAAGACCAAGGTGATGCTCGACTGGTGTGGCTCAGTATATGGAGCGATGTCCCATGGACCATGGACTGAGAGGTCCTGGTTCAATTCTCGGTCAGGGCACATGCCTGGTTTGCAGGTTCCATCCCCAGTGCGGGGTGTGCAGGAGGCAGCCAATCAGTGTTTCTCTCTCACGTCGATGTTTCTATCTCTCCCTTCCTCTCTCTCTAAAAAATCAATAAAAACATACAGTCGGCCCTTGTTTATCGTGGTTAATCAGTTCCAGACTCTACCGTGATAAATGAAAAAATTGCAATAGAGTGAAGTTGCGAAGGTCAAAGCGTGAAGTGGTGAGAAACGACTGTATTTAAAAAAAGAAGAAGACTAAGGTGACCTCTTCCGACAGCTTCAGAGTCCCCTTACATTTCCCCTAGTAAAACAAGCGGAGGTCCCAGAAATCTGTTGTGGATTCTCATCTCAAATAATTTCTTATTTATTTAATTTTGCCCATTTGTTTCTGAGTGGATAATTCATTCACATGGTTCAAAATGTTCAAAGTTCAGAAAAGTGTAAAAAGCTTCTCCCCTACTCCTCCCTAGAGACCACCCACGGTCTCACTTTCTTGTCTGACCTTTTCCATTTTTATCTTACAACTTTTAAAGTAGAATTTTAAATATTTTTGTTGCAGAAATAGTATATATAATACCATTAAGAAAATGAAATGAAGGAACCAAAAAAGTTTTTCATAAGTAAATCAAATGATTTGACTTGTCCCTGGTTCCCTGGTCCTTGGCCTTATTCAGACAGAACTTTTACGTGGTTGGAATCGTGGTCTCGTAACTTTTTAATATCTTGTTCATTTATGGTGTTAGCTTAGAGAGTTTCCAAAACCCAGGGATGACAGAGAGAAAGTTGGTCTGCAGAATGAGAGATTGTTGGATAGTAACCGAAATGTGCACCCACCCCTCCTGCCCACCCTGCTTCTTGTAGAAATACCTGCTCCCCCTGCTCATGGGCGGCCGAGAGGACAGGATGCAGCTGGGGAGGATGGAGGCGAGTCTCTCGGAGCTGAGTGGCAGCGTGGCACAGACAGGTAAAGATTAATGACTCCATCAAGTCACCCCTCAAAGCCTCCTCGAGCAGCCCCTTCTCTGCCCCTCCCCTCTCCCCTCCGTCTCCACTTTATGTGGTGACTTCATTTATCTGCTCTGAGAATCTGTTCACATTTGCAAATGAAGCTGCCGTCATTTCGGTTTAATTTGAAATTGCTTGTTTACTGTCGGCGCGGCCTCAATTAATTATGTTTTTACGGAAAGGCTCCCAACCTCAGAATATTAATAAGGGGAATAAAATGACAGCCTTTCTAAGGGCTGTAAAGTTCATTTTTAATTTCTGCTTCTATGAGGTTTTCAGGGGGGTTTTCAGCGATTTTCCCCCTTCCCTCTAAGAATCCGATGCAGGGTCAAGAGAGGCTGTAATTACTGCGGCTCCCAGGACCCCGGCCACCTCCTCTGTCATCGACTCCACGAGGCTCGCATTCATTACCTAGTGCCCCAGTGATGGCCCAGATTAGCTGGGACCTGTCGCACCAGAGGTGCTTTTCTCCTTGATAAACTTGTTTACTATAGAGGGAGTCTCTTAATCTAGAAATATAGGCCAGTGAGAGTCACTGTCCCAGGCAGGCCTCAGAAATCCTCCAGAGTCCATGCGACCGGGAGCTCCAGCACCTTGGGCTGGGGGAGGGCGAAGGAGCAGCAGGGAACTGGGATTTGCAGTTCCAATCACTCCTGGAGGGTGTGGGGCCTGCGGTGCACCTCTGCCGGGGCTGGAGACTGCACGAGCTCTGTGAGGACATGGTGCGGCCGGGATGTGGACTTTCTGAAGTTGGAGAGCCGGGCAATTCAGCAGATATAATTAGAGGGGAGAGGTTGGGCGGGTGTACATGGACAGCTCCACAGGGGAGGATGGAGCAGAGACGGGAGGCTGATACAGTGCAGGTGGATCACCCAGAGCGCAGATCGATGGTCTGGGCTGTGGGCTGGGGGTGTCTGAGATAAGTTAGATGCTGCAGCTAAGGTGTGGGGACATCATGAGGAGAATCTGTATCATTTAACAGAGACACTACTGTTCTTTTCTCCCAGTGACTCAGTTACAGGTGACATTAGCTTCTGTCCAGGAGCTGCTGATTCAGCAGCAGCAGAAAGTCCAGGAGCTCGCCCATGAACTGGCCACAGCGAAGGTACTGGTCCCTGACCCCCTGGTCCCTCCAAGTGTGCTCTTCACTCTTGTCCTTTCTGTCCAGTTCACCGTGTTCCATGGGGTCTGACTTGGTCTTTCTCACACTGGTTGCATGATGAGCCCTCACTGCCTTGTAGAGGGAAATGGCATTCAGCAATGGAGGCCGCCTGTCTGTCCCGTCACCTCCAGTAGATGGGAGGAAAAGCAGCTCTCTGCCCGTGACCTCCTGTGGTGGCACCTGCTCCAGCTCTGGGCCGACGGTGTAGACACAGAACCGTCTCCACCTGCACGTTAGGTCACAGGTCACAGTTTCCAAGAGGCCTGGGTGTAGAAGGTGGAGGGAGTCCCAAGGCACTGCGGTAATGCCTAGGTTCTCGAAGCCCAGGTCTCGGGGTCAGGTAACCCCCAACGGAGTGTAGTGCCAACTAGAACTGACTGGAGCAGTTCTCATGTCTCACTTCCAAAATCTGAAGCTGTTAGTAATATCAGACCCTGGGATCAGACTGCCTGGATGAAAATCCTCCTCTGCCACGTGATAGCTGTGTGACCACAGGCAAGTTACTTAACCTCTCTGGGTCTTAGTTTCCTCACCTGTAAAATGGAGCTATAACGATACCTTCCTTCATTGTCTTGACATGCTGAGAACAGGGCCTGGCTGCAGTCAGCCCCAGGATTTCAGGTCTCTGTTCTGGTTCTGTGGCAGTGTGACAAGGTCATGTCTCAGACAGATGGGCCAGGAGACAGGTGCAGTGACTCCAGGACGTCTGCTGTCCTCTTTGCTCCACCCCGTCTCCCGTGTTGCTTTCTTCCGCTTCCACCCGCGGTGCAGTGTACGGCTCCACTCGTGAGTGGCTTTCCTGGGGAGGCCCCACTGCTGCGCACACCTAGAAATGAGCAGCACCCCAATCGTTTGCATTTGTAAAAACCCAGCTAAGCGGGAGTCTTTCCATTTCCCATGGAATCTGGGGTGCCTCCTGTGAAGAAGGTCCCCAAGAATGCCCTCCTCAGATCCCCCCACACAGAGGGGCTGCCTGCACTTTCTCAGATGGCACTATTGCCGGGTGGCCCTCCAGCCACCATGTGCACCATGGGGGCCGGTGGCCCACAAAGTACCCAGAAGGCCGGTTACGACCCCGCCCATGATCCTCTGTTATCTTTCGGAGCGGTGGCCTGCTAGTGGCCAGAAGCCATTCCGGAAATTGGAAAACTGTTTTCAGACCTTCAGCATTACGATTAAGACCACATGTTGCATGTTAAGAGAGGAGGGGCCCAGGATGGTGCTTGGTGGTTGAGAGCTCCTGAGTCTCTTATGCTTGTTTTTCTGATGGTCCCCCGCCCGTCCCGGCCCCTTTCATCCATTCTCTCTCATACTGAAGCGGGGCTCGCTGGTTTGGTGCCTAAACCCATATGTGTGAGGACTGGTTACCCCATAAACCAAAGACTCGGAGCTGTGTTTTCTCAGCTGTAATATAAGTTTTTATATCTGGCTTCCAAGCTCCTACTGCAGCACTGTAAAAAATTAAAAAGAAGAGCATTAAGTAATTAAAAAACCTACATAAAACTGAAGGCTGGGAGTTTTCTACAACTGTTTTTAAAGAGACTGGCTAAAAAGCCCCAGATGTCAGATTTTATTTCTAAATCCTGGCATCTGGCCCCACATGCGTTTGGAAACTTGAGTCCTTTGTCGGCCTGTGAGTGGAAATTGCTCCCTTGTTAATGGGTCGCGGTAGCTTTCCAGGTTTCGGAGAAGCCAGAACAGTGGCTCCGGGCCCGTGCTGTCTGGTGGTCTGGAGGGCCCCAGGAGGGTGTGAGGGCGGTGGGTGTTTGTACGCACCCGCTCTCAGACTGCCCAGCTCTTCCTTCCCAAGCCCTGCACCCCGCTGAGGGCCTTTTCCCTGCGAAGGTGTGCTGGGCACTGGAGCCGCACCCCACGTCAGAGGCCCAGAGCAAGCTGGCAGGAGTGTCCGGGGCCCCTCCCCTCTGCCAGCCTGGGGCCCCCCTACATTCTCCTGAACTTACTGCTGGGGTTTTCTGTGTCAGGCAGGGTAGCCCTGTCAGGGAAGCAGGGGCCTTGCATGATTGATCTGTGGCCTGAGGCCACCACCTGGAATCGGCTCATAAACACTTCATAGGCAGTCTGGCCGCTGGCACCCGCCATTTGGGGAACCCCCGATTTCCTCTTCTCTGTTCGTCGCAACCAGACTTGCCAGAGAAAGATGGGTCTCTGAAATTCACCTGGAGACGGCACCGCGCTCCAAGGGAAAGGCGTGTGTGGAAGGACGGTGTCCGTCCAGGGTCCTTGTGGCTGTCTGCTCTGTGTGCCGTCCTCAGGGAAGGAGTCGAAGTGCAGTCCTAGGATGGCTTCTCTCTCTCTGCTGAGCCTTCAGTCATCCCTGAACAGCTACTGTGGATGGGTGGCCTGGCTCTGCAGACAGCGAGGCCCGTTCTGGCTGACCTCACGGAGCCAGGGCCGCACGTCTCCGAGCAGCTCCGGGAAGTGCGCCTGGTGCCCCCTGTCTTCTGGGCCTGCTCTGGGTGCAGCCGGGACGAACCGGGCAGGCACTTGCTTGTGATCATTTCCCTGACCCTCCAAGGCGGCTCCCGGGTTCCAGTCTCGGGTACCTGTGGGGGGAGGCCGCTGCCTCTCTCAGCCCCCAAGTTCTCCTGTGTGTGGTGTGATCCTCTTTACAGGGAGAGGGGACTTGGGTAGGGGGCATAGTTGGTGTAGAGGTAGATTTTTTTCATCCTCACCTAAAGACATTTTTCCATTTATCTTCAGATAGAGCGGGGGGCGGGAGGGAGAGAGAAACAGCGACATGAGAGAGACACATCAAGTGGAGTGGTTGCCACTCACATGACCCCAACTGGGGCCGGGGACACACTGCAACTGAGGCACGTGCCCTTAGCAGGAACTGAACTCAGGCCTCTCTGGTCCACGGGCTGACGCTTTAACCGCTGAGCCAAACTGGCCAGGGCGAGAGGTAGAAATGTATTTATTTTATTAGTTTTTTTTTTCATGGAGCATTTCAAACACACCATGGAAGGGACGCATGGCAAAAGACCCCTCACAGTGGCAGCTGCTGCCTCAGCCCGATCCGACAGGTGGCTTCTCAGGGCACAGTGCAGACACTTCAGACTCCTGTGGTCGTGTCATTTTGTTTTACGTAACCAGAATACCATTATTACACCTAGATGCATGGCATGGTTCCTTAATATCATTTAAACAGAGAGGCCCAGGCAGGCAGAGCCCTGAACGGGCAGAGGCAGAACCTTCCCAAGGGGTCACCAGGCTGGTGCTCAGGACAGTGCCCCCGGGGACGCCCTGGGTCCCAGAGGCGCAGCCCCTTCTACCTCCCCAGCCACCTGAGCTCCGAGGGCTAGAGGGAGGCACCACTCTGATCTTTGTCCCCTTGTGTGTTGACTTTCAGGCCACCACATCCACCAACTGGATCCTGGAGTCCCAGAATATCAATGAACTCAAGTCGGAAATTAACTCCTTGAAAGGGCTTCTTTTAAACCGGTAGGAGATGAGAAGACGGGCTCTGCTCTGCTCTGGGCCTGGGCCTGGGGAGTGGAGCGCCCCGTGGTCTAGCTGTTGGGAAGGGGGGTGCATTGTCCCAGGGGTCCCGAGTGAGCTGCATGGTTCAGGCATTGATTGAGTGTGGGAATCTCTCCCACTTCACTTTCTGTCCCCAGTAGCCGCCCCCTCTCCTCTCCAGGGCCATAGCCTGCAGCCCAGAGTTCTGAGATGCAGACAGTTCCTTGGCCTGTCGAGACTTGGTCCCCTCCCTCCAGACAGGGCCACCTCCTCCTCCATCCTGAGTCCAACCGGTCCCAGAGAAGATCCCCACAGAGGGCCGGGGTCCTTAGTTTGAAGGGTCCTAGGGTTCAGGACAGGGGCAGAAGCATGCCTGCCTCCCCACCCCCAGCTAGGGTCCCCCTGCAGAGGGACAGCACCTTCCGTGAGCCCTCCAGGGGAAGGGCACAGGATCGGTCTGGTTATGTTACTACTCACCCAAGGACATACTTAGAGGGGGAGAGAGAAACATTGATGAGAGACGGATGGATCGGTTGCCTTCCTGCACACCCGACTAGGGGCTGAGCCAGCAGGCTTTTGGTGTACAGGGTAACGCTCAGCCAGCTGAGCAACTCCGGCCGGTCAGGGACCACCTGGTTTTATTTTTTTTTATTTTTTTATTTTTTTTATCCTCACCCGAGGACATTTTTTCCATTTTTTGTTCAGGTAGAGTGGGAGGGAGAGAGAGGAACAGAGAGAGAGAAACATCGATGTGAAGGGACACATCGAGTGGCTGCCACCCGCACGACCAACCAGGGCCGGGGACAAACTGCAACCGAGGTACGTGCCCTTAGCGGGAACCGAACCCGGGTCTCTCTGGACCGCAGGCTGACGCTCTAACCGCTGAGCCAAACCGGCCAGGGCAGGACCACCTGGTTTTAAAAGTGAAAGGCCTGTGTCCCAGGACATGAGATTGGTAGGTCCCCCAGCCTGCAGGGCACCTGGTCGGCCTTGTTGGGCGCATGCTCCTTTGCAGGCCTGGGGCTCAGGGGGCAGTGTGAAGGCACATGGTGGCCGTCACTCAGGATCAAGGATGGGGGCCCCGACCAGAGGACCCAAGCCACCTACTTCCAGGCCTTGAGAGCGGTGTGACTGAGCTCAGGGGCGGTCATTAGGAGAAGCCCTTTTTGTGAGCTTAGGACCCAGGAGGGAGCCCCAAGGTCCAGGGACAGAGAGCAGGTGTTGGCTGATGTTGGGACCAAGAAAACTGCCCGTTGAGTTTCTCCTTAGCGTCCAGTGATCTTGACATGAACACCAAGGTCTTGGCCAGGCGCTCCCCATACAGTAGGGTCAGCAGGAGGGGCTGTCCAAGGCCCAGTGCTGGGGGTGCGGGGCAGCCAGGAGGGGAGCAGGACTTTGTCTGCTTGGCTCAGGCAGAGATGGGCCACCTGTCCTAGAGCTTGGTTTCCAAGTTGTTGCCAAGAGGACCTGACTTCCCAGGTCCTTTCTGGACTTGGCTTTGGTCTGGGCTGGCTGCTGGCCCGTCTCTGGGCCTGCAGGAGGTGGGGTGGGGAACTGATTTCCCTCTCAAATGCTGGCTCAGAGGTTTTCTAAGAAAGTGCACCAGTGCCCCCCTGCAGTGCTGTAGGCAGTTAGAGTCGGAGGCCCAGGTGGGGATCCCCACCCCCACCTGCTCCCTCTTCTGGGGTGGAGGTGGGATGGTGGACGGACCAGGATGGGAAGGTTCCAGGGCATGGCAGGCCCTCCAGGCGGCTGTCCAGCAGCGGTGAGGGGCCAGGAGGCAGCCGAGTGGGCCGGGTGCTCTGTGAGCAGCCCTGGGCCTCCCTGGCATCGGTCTCAGCTGCTCCGGGCCCTTGTTTCTGAGGGAGGGAGTGCGAGGGGGGTTGGGCGTGGACTGAGCTCATTTCTGCCCCCTGCTCCGTGGCACTGTGGCTGAGCACTTGAGATCGGGGAGGAGGGTGTGCCCCTGCTGAGGGGGAGCCCCAGGATCTCGTCCTGACCCCCCCTCCTCCCTCGCCTGCCAGGAGGCAGTTCCCACCCTCCCCTTCAGCCCCGAAGATCCCCTCCTGGCAGATCCCGGTCAAGTCTCCGTCGCCCTCCAGCCCCGCCGTGAACCACCACAGCAGCAGCGACATCTCGCCTGTCAGCAACGAGTCCGCGTCGTCCTCGCCCGTGAAGGAGGGCCACAGCCCCGAGGGCTCCACGGCCTACCACCTGCTGGGGCCCCAGGAGGAGGGCCAGGGGGTGGTGGACGTCAAGGGCCAGGTGAGAATGGAGGTGCAGGGCGAGGAGGAGAAGCGGGGGGACGAGGAGGACGAGGACGAGGACGTGAGCCACGTGGACGAGGAGGGCTGCCTGGGGGTGCAGCGGGAGGACCGCCGGGGCGGGGACGGCCAGATCAACGAGCAGGTGGAGAAGCTGCGGCGGCCGGAGGGGGCCAGCAACGAGAGCGAGCGGGACTAGGCCCACGGGTCCCTCACGAGGTGGCCGGGGGGCGCTCTGAGCCAGGTGGGCACCAGGGCCTAGGGCAGTGTGAGGCCCAGGCACACCTGGCCTTTCTCCTGGGCTGCATTTCTGTCCACCCAGCCTCCCCTCACCTGCCGCTTCCTCAGCTCAGCCTGGACGGCCGGCCTTGACCTTGTTGTCATGTGGGCTGAAGGCCCGACTCTGGGCTCGAGGCCCCCTCAGCCCGGTTTCCTGGACCCCTGGACCCCTGGCTTGTCCAGGGTGTGTCTGCTGAGCGTCTTAGCTAACCTAACACCGTGCATGACAAGAGGTACTTCTTACCTGACTCCCTGCTCTCCAAGGAGGAGGAGCTGCTTTGACCAGGTGTCCGCTGTCCGCCCCTGCCCCTGCCCCGTGGCTCCTCCCTTCGCTTATGCCAGGGCCAGGGGCTCTCGTCTGTCCCCACCGCTCCTCTCTCTCCGGTGAGAGCCTCCCAGGCCCATGGCCGGGCCTGCCCGACTGATGCCGCCCTCTGCCTGTCCCAACCCCACCGTGCCTGTCGTCCTCCCCGTGAGCCCCTGCGTGTCCAGCTGCCCCTGCTTCCATGGCCTCAGCTGCGGCCCGTGGCAGACGTGGCTGTCCCTCCACGCGGAGCCGGGCCTCGGGCCTTCCTGTGGTCCTACCCACCCAGAAACATGTTCATTTGTGCGATCAGGTATAGGTTCAGAATATAAGATACGACTGTATATAATTGTAATAAATATGAGTTGCCACTATTTAATTCCCGCCTGTGGCTCCCTGTCTGCTCACGGCACCCAGTGCCTGGGAGGTGGGTCTCGGCTGAGGCTGCACCAGGTGAGCCCTGAGGAGGACCCGGAGGGGGTGGGGGTGGGGGGCTGAGCCTGGGCAGGTTTCTCCGGCTGCTCACCTAGAGCCCAGAGGGTTTTTTTCTCGCCCGTGTCTGTCGAAGGGCGACATTCGGATCCGGAGGAGAAGGACCTCACGTTACTGTATATAGACCTGATGAGAAGTGTGATGAGCTCTTCCTTAAATGGATGAATATGCTCCCAGGAGAGCGAGTCTTGCTCTCTCTTCCTCCCCCATCTCCTCTCCCTCTCACCCTCCCTGTCTCCTTTTAACCTTCACACAGCATTTAGCTAAACCCAGGCAAACAGCGCATGATGCTCCTCCCAAGGCGTGCTCTGCGCCCTGCAGCCCACGGCGCGGCGGCCGGGCGGGCATGGGGAGGCACGGTCACGTCTGGGTGCCCTGTGGACGCAGGCTCTGGAAGGCTCTGGCTCTGGGGGTGGAGCTCACAGCGAGCCGCCCCTCGCTGGCCTCCTGACTGCTGGCTGCCACCGCGGGCCTGCAGCCTAGCGAGGGAGCAGGCCGACGGCCAAGGGCCGAGGGGTGAGTGACTTGGCATTAGGGCTGTTTTGTCTCAGAAACATTTCACCTCCTGCCTAGGCCCTTTCTAGGGCTCTGGGCTCAACGCCCTCCCCCAGTAGGAGGCCCAGGGGCCACTGCGGAGGTGTTAGGTCATAGTGGCTTGGGCTCTCCCTGACTGAGTGTCCACCCCCTGGTCTGGCTCCTCAGGTCTTACCTTTGATGCTCGACCCTCACATCCCTGTGGTCTGTTTCCCTGCCACACGCTTCCTGGGCCAGCAGAGCCCGTGCTGAGTCACCCCTGCCTGTTACCCCAGGAAGCCAGTGCTCTCGGTCCCCTGGGCCACCAGCCTGTGGTGGTGAGGACCCCACTGCTCGGGGGCCAGGCCAGCAGAGCCCGTGCTGAGTCACCCCTGCCTGTTACCCCAGGAAGCCAGTGCTCTCGGTCCCCTGGGCCACCAGCCTGTGGTGGGTGAGGACCCCACTGCTCGGGGGCCAGGCCAGCAGAGCTGACCTGGAGGGCAGAGGGCTGGAGGCTGGTCTGGACCGCCCTGGCCTCTGCGGGACGGGTCCAGAGTGGGCGGTCATGGGGGTCTCCCCCTTTAGCTTGGTGACCATTTGTCATCGTCTCTAATTTCCCAGAGGTTCATCCTGCCATGGGACCAGACAGGGTGACCAGAAGGCAGATGGTCTGGGGTGGACTCAGCCAGAGCCACGGTGGTGCGGCTGGTACACCCACAACGGCCAGAGGCTGCCCTGGGCCTTGCCACCCCGGAGTGGGGGCCGCAGCTGGGGCTTCCTCCTACCTGGGGGTCAGCAGGCTCGAAGGGCCCTGGGGCTCACACGCAGAAACCTGGGCCCCAGGCCTTTGGCCCCTCGGGTCCTGAGCGGATGCTGGATTTTGAGGATAGAGAGCCTGGCCTGATTTCAGGGAGAAAAAACCCCTCCCCAAAACAGCATGAGTGCTGCCTAATAAAGGCAGCTGCTGGACGGAGGGAAAACAGCCCTTTGAAAAAAGCCTTTCATTAGAAAAATAATGCATTTCATCCAAATAAGGTAAAAATATTTGGAATGGGGCAGAAGTGAGCAGCAGGCAGCGCCTGCCGGCCCTTTCTGGAAGGGAGAGATCATTATACTCAATTACAGTGTATTTTTGTAGAGTGTCTTTCAGGAAAGCACTCGTCCAGTGCTGGGAGCTGGGGAGCTGCAGGGCACCCTCCTGGCCCCGGGTTCCCTGCCGCCAGCCAGGGCTTCTCTGGGTTTGCGATGCCCAGGTGGGGCGCCGGGGTGCATCGGGAACACCCCAGGGCTGCCCCTCCGCTGCCCTGTGGTCAGTGGGACCCCAGGGCTGGGAAGGGGAGCACTGTGCCTCGGAGGAGGGGATGCTGAATTTGTAAATGTGCGTTTGTTCTGTGGGCGTTTATGTCAGATGTTTAAAGGGAACACGGTAAAACCCCTTCACCCCATGTGGTTTCACAGGTATAGGTGTGCTTGCGGGCTCACTCACTGTCTCTGTCTCTTTTTAAATAAAACCGGAAACTCCTCTTCAGTGTTGTGTGACTTGCTTGTCTCACTGAAAGTGAGTCCTGTGTCCTTGGGGACTCACACCAGGTGGTAGTTGGTGCCCAGCCAGGACACTGAGCCTTTTCTCTGATGATTGCCCCAGCCCAACCCTAGTCTAGCCCCAGCCCTGTCCCTACCCCAGCCCTGTCCCTACCCTGCCCTATCCCAGCCCCAGCCCTGTCCCTATCCTGCTCTGTCCCAGCCCCTGCCCTATCCCAGCCCCAGCCCTGTCCCTACCCCAGCCCTGTCCCTACCCTGCCCTATCCCAGCCCAGCCCTATCCCAGCCCCAGCTCTGTCCCTATCCTGCTCTGTCCCAGCCCCTGCCCTGTCCCTACCCTGCTCTGTCCCAGCCCCTGCCCTGTCCCTACCCTGCTCTGTCCCAGCCCCTGCCCTGTCCCTGCCCCAGCCCTGTCCCTATCCTGCTCTGTCCCAGCCCCTGCCCTGTCCCTACCCTGCCCTGTCCCAGCCCCAGCCCTGTCCCTACCCTGCCCTGCCCAGCCCCAGCCCTGTCCCTACCCTGCCCTGTCCCAGCCCCTGCCCTGTCCCTACCCTGCTCTGTCCCAGCCCCTGCCCTGTCCCTACCCTGCCCTGTCCCTACCCTGCTCTGTCCCAGCCCCTGCCCTGTCCCTGCCCTGCTCTGTCCCAGCCCCTGCCCTGTCCCTGCCCCAGCCCTGTCCCTATCCTGCTCTGTCCCAGCCCCTGCCCTGTCCCTACCCTGCTCTGTCCCAGCCCCTGCCCTGTCCCTACCCTGCCCTGTCCCTACCCTGCCCTGTCCCAGCCCCAGCCCTGTCCCTACCCTGCCCTGTCCCAGCCCCAGCCCTGTCCCTACCCTGCCCTGTCCCAGCCCCAGCCCTGTCCCAGCCCCTGCTCTGTCCCAGCCCCTGCTCTGTCCCAGCCCCTGCCCTGTCCCTACCCTGCTCTGTCCCAGCCCCTGCCCTGTCCCAGCCCCAGCCCTGTCTCTACCCTGCTCTGTCCCAGCCCTGTCCCTACCTTGCTCTGTCCCTGCCCCTGCCCCAGCCCTGTCCCTACCCTGCTCTGTCCCAGCCCCAGCCCTGTCCCAGAGCTCAAGGAGGAAGGGAAGGCAGGAGATGTTTTCTGTGGGCCTGACAACCTGATCCGTGGGAGTTTACTTAATCCTTAGCGTTTCTTGGTCTGTTTGTTTAAATGTTTCTGCCAAGGCACCCAGAGGAGAGGTCTGGAGGCTCCGGTCAGCAGGCCCAAAGGTGCCCGGAAGCCTGTAGGTGGGGTAACCAGCCCTAGGTGACACCTGGGGTCACCGGAGTCCTGGCTGACCACCCCCTCCCTGCCCGGCCCCTCTCTGGCTCCCGCTTTTCCTCCAGTTCGGGGTTTCCCACCCCAGGCTCCCCACCCCCGCCAGGCAGACACTCCAGGATGAGGTGCTGATGTGTGGCCGCCACCTTTACGCACCAGCTGCCCCCCCCCCCCCGCCCTGGGCTCTGGGCTCTGGGCTCTGGGCTCTGGGCTGTTGGGTGCCTTCACCTGAACCATGAATAGTTTACTTTCATTGAGCAGAGTTGGTGCCTTTCTAGGGGAGGTTTTACTACTGTTTCATACAGAAAACGCCCGAAGCCTCTCCCTGCTCCCTGGAGCGCTGAAGGCTCTTTACAGTTCTCCACACATCTTGGAAACTCAGCCCCGTTTCCCAGCCCCGGAGAAAGTACTTCGGACACCCCAGAGCGGCTGCTGGGGCCCGGGGCTCGGGGCAGGGCCAGGGGCTGGGGGTCGGGACGGGCCCCCGAGGCCGGGGATCTGCAGGGGCTGGGGTTCGCGGTGCGCAGCGGTAGGGGCTCGGGGCAGGGCCAGGGGCTGGGGGTCGGGACGGGCCCCCGAGGCCGGGGATCTGCAGGGGCTGGGGTTCGTGGTGCTGCAGCGGTAGGGGCTCGGGGCAGGGCCAGGGGCTGGGGGTCGGGACGGGCCCCCGAGGCCGGGGATCTGCAGGGGCTGGGGTTCGCGGTGCGCAGCGGTAGGGGCTCGGGGCAGGGCCAGGGGCTGGGGGTCGGGACGGGCCCCCGAGGCCGGGGATCTGCAGGGGCTGGGGTTCGCGGTGCGCAGCGGTAGGGGCTCGGCTGCTCCACGGCGAGCCTTCCTCCCAGGGTGGCACAAGCCTGGGCCCTGCTCATCCCCAGCAAGATCCCAGGGCTGCTGCCTGCCCTGCTCCCTGGAGGCCTGACCTTGATCTTGGAGCTGCAGCACCTGGTCCCTTGGCCCCTGGCTTTGGGCCAAGGCTACCTGTAGGGCCAGGGCCACTCTCATGAGGTGGATGGGCAAGCAGCCTTCCCCAGGCTGACTGGGCATGTCACTCACTCCGAAGCCCAGGGAGGGGACTGCTGCTGGTCCAGGTGGGCTGGGGCAAGGCTCCCGTGGGTGACTCAGTGTTAGTGGCACCTGAGCCCTGCCAGGTCGATGGGAGATGGGCGGGCTGCTGGGCTCAGCCTGAGCCTGTGCAGCTGGGTCTGAGGTTCCAGGAGGTCATGAAAGTCTTGCATCTGCCGCGTGGGGTGCAGGAGCATCACACCAGCACAGCTAGTCAAATCCCAGAGGGAAAACATGCTTCAGTGCATTTCCTACTGAGTCCAGCAAGCCACCGGAGTGTTGCGGGGCAGGCCCCATCGGAACCCCTGGGCGGGGCACCATCCCCGCTGTGGGCCTCTCCCTCCCAGGGGTGGGGACACGGGCTCCGGGCATGAGCTCCTAGAAGGTGTGATGGGCACTTCTCATCTGGGGCAGTGCTTGGGAGTCAGTGGGAAGACCCTTGTCCCCCTGAAGCTTTTCTGAGGGGTGTCTGGGACCAGTGCACCCTTTCCTGGGCTAGGCACAGGGCTCTGCCTTGTCCTGAGTCTCACTTGGAAGCGGGCCCTGCCCACTTACTGTGTGTGGGTCTGCTGAGGTCCACCCAGGGCCCAGAAGACCTGGGGACAGCAGAGGAGGGGCAGTTTGGGGGTGTCTGCCCCGAGCACCCATCTGCCTCAGGAGTGCCTGAGAGGCAGCTGAAGTTGGGGCCCCTGGGAGCTGCCCGCCAAAAGGTGGGCCCCACCCCACTGCCCCCCAGTGCAGCTCCCAGAGCCCGTGGTCTCACACCCACCCACCAGGCAGCCGAGGCCCTTGCCTCCCCCAGGCCCCATGGGAGGGCTGCTGCCCGCCAGGCCCCTGAAGCCTCCAGTAATGGTTTTAATTTGTTGAACTTGTGTTTTACCCCATAAATTAGTCACTGTTTTATTTAACAGAAGTGAGATATCCACAAACAATAGGCGAGTTCCAACTTGAAGATTTTAATAAGACAGAAAAAAGTATGTATTTTCGTGTCTGTTACAGACTTATTTATGTAAATAGCCCGCGGGCTGGGATCCAGGAGGGAAGAAGGGGGAGGGCCCTGCGTGGGGCTGGGTGAGGAGCTTGGTGGTGGGGATGCTACTGAGCTGGGTGCTGGGCGTGGTGTGGGCCCGAGGTGTGTGGGGAGAGACAGCCCTGGTTCTCTCCTCGTGACAGTGGTGCGGTCGCTGCAGGAGCACAACGTCCAGTGAGAGGCCCTCCCTGAACCCTGGGCCGTCTGGCCACCTAGGAGGAGGTCAGCCCAGGGCAAGGCTGGCAAGATGGTGCAGATGATGAGGATTGATGAGGAGCAGGTCACCATTCAGGAGTGTCAGGGTCAACGAGGCGTGAGACCCGCACCCGGGGCAAGGCCCCACGGGAGTGCTCACCAGCAGGCCTGGGCCTCGGGCTGGTGGCTAAGGACCCAGGACTCAGCCCCTCTGGCTCTGCCCCGGAGTGCTGCAGGCAGGAGCTGAGCCAGCATCCGGATTGGATCCGGGTACGCGCCGTCCCCAGCCCGGGCAGGTCTCTGCAGGAAGGAGGAAGGAGCTGAGGGAGGAGGCAGATGGATGACCCTGGCAAGAGCCTGCCCAGTAGCCTGGCTCACAGAGGAGAGGGGCCCAGGGTGGGGGCCCAGGGAGCCCAAGGAGCCTTTGCCGGAGGCCCCAGGCCTCCATGCCAATCGCTTTGCCTGAGGGAGGCTCCGGAGTCTCGTGGGGCCTTCAGGCAGAGCTGCGGGAGGAGGCCACCCTCCAGACGTGCCAGGCCCACGCCCCCCACCCTCTCCCCCAGCCACCTGGGAGGACTTGGCCCGAACCCAGGGGCAAAACTGGTCTTCCCTGCTGGGGCTGAAGGGTCACCCGCTCCCTCCTCTCCTGCCCTGGCACATGGAGCTTGTCCCGCCAGGGCTGTGCCAGCCTGCACAGCTGGGTCACCGCCAGCTGCTTGGAGCTGATTTTAAAAATAAAAGATAGCTTGATAGATTTTTTTTCCAGTTTTTATTGAGTGAAAATGTCAAACCTTGCATCAGTCATGCAAAAAAAAAAAAAATCAAATAAATAAAACACATATATTAAATTTCTAATAGCACTAAATTCAAGTGGAAAAATATTCAGTTCTTAATAACCAGGTGCCGAGGAGACCAGATTCAAGTAATCAGAGCACACGCTGTTCAGTTCGGTTCTCACGTTCTGCATTTTTCGTCTCAAAACCTCTCTATATATCTCTATATATCTATATATGTATATACATATAGATATATACACACATATGTGCATACATATTATTTTATATTTATATATATACACATACATAGTTATAAAACATTAAAAAGAGCATTGGTGGATCAAGCATTGTTTTCCCCACAGAAAGAAAATAAAACAAAAATTACACATTAAAATTCAAAACGCGCTAGCAATGGCTTATAGTCCTAGTGTGCAATATGAAGGTTACAAAAGGCTAGACTCTGCACTGTCGGCGTCTTCTTCTTTTCTTTTTTTTTTTTTTTCCTGTTTGATTTTGCTACATTGAAAAATGTTTGTTTTTGTTTTTTTCCTTTATAGACTCCTTCCACAGACTCACCAGTTCTGTGGTCGGGCACAAAGTCTGGGCGAACGCTCAGCAGCAGCACGTGGTGCCCACAGAATTCAGGAGGCTCTGGTGGGGGCTTAGAAACGCTGTTTCCTGGTGAGTCAGGTACACTCCGTCTGACCGCTCCTCCCTGCCTGCTCTCTCCAGTTCAGGTGGTCCTGGCTTTCTGGCTGTGGGCAGCCAAGAGGACAAAAAAGAAAAGAAAAGGAAAAAACAAAAACAAAAAAAAACAAGAAAGAAAAAGGAAACCTGCCCCTCGGCTGGGTAGGCCCCTTGGAGACCCGCAGGGAGGTGGCTCTGGGTGACAGGCCCCCCAGACCAGGCCTCGCTCTCTTCCTGTGGCCAGTCTCAGGGTCCAACCCAAGACCAGCTGGCGGCCTGCAGTGGAGAGAAGGGGACAGGAGGGGCCTTGGGCTGCCTGTCCTGGGTCCCTGTCACCCTCATCGCCACTGGCCAGGCGAGTGCCTCTCCGGTGAGGCCCCCTCTCTGGGCTTGTGACATCATCATCATCTCCAGGAAGGGGGGATGTTTTGAAAAGGGAACCAAATCTGGGTGGGTTGCACCAACAAAGAAGCATCCCAAACAAAATAATAAACTGGGAGGGAAAGAGGAAAAAAAAAAAAAAAAGCCCTATAAAGCCACACACATAACCAATAGAGAAAAACTCAAATGTTAAATTAACTACAAACTTGTATCAACAGTACAGTCCTTTCCTCTGGCCTCTACGAAATTCAAGTTAGACGCGGCGTCGCGCGCCCGATGCGCTCGGCAGCCCGGTGGCCGCGCTCCGCTCCGCCCGGCTGGGGCGGCGGCCCTGTCCTCCGCCTGCTCTTTTCTTTTTGTTCTACGTAGAATAACCACCTTGACAGGAAAACACTGTACACCTTTCTCCACGTTTTCCATTCCGAACAGTAAAGCCCGCACAGTCGCCGCTCGCGTCCCCAGCGCCGGCCGAGACCGCGGCGGCACCCGCCTCCGTGGCGAGCAGCCCCTCGCGGCAGGGCGGTCGGCAGTCACCGCGGGCCGCGGCCCCTCCGTGCCCGGGCCCCGCAGTGGGGCGGGGACCGCGCCCCCGGCCTCGCTGCTTCCGCGAGGGCTCCTCCGTGGTCCACGTAGTGTCACCGAGCGGCGCCTTCTGCCCCGCCCTCCCCAGGGCCAGGAGGCCGGGCCTGGCTGTGAATGGGGCGCTGCCGGATGCCGAGGTGCCCGCCCGCCTCCGGGGGTTAGGGGTGGGGGTCCTGGTGACCCCAGCGCCCGCCCCCGTCCTGAGCAATGAGGAATCCCACCGGCGTGGGCGTGGGCCCGGGGTCCGGCCCTGGGGAGGATCGCTTGGGGCAGCTGCGCCCGCCTCGCCCTGGGGACCCCGCTCCCCTCTCCCACCCCGGACAAGAGCACCTTCTGTTTCCCTGAAGAAGATCCCCGAATTGCAGCTAGAGAGGGGAGCTCGGCGGCCTGTCCTTCCAGCCGCGGAGCTGCGCGGGCGGCGGGCGCGGTGGCGGCCCCGGAGCACCAGACGGGGCCCCGCCTCTGCCCTGAGACGGACTCGGGGTCCGGAAGCACCGGCGGGGCGGCGGCGGGGGGCGGGGTTGGGGGGGCGAGCCCGGAGCACCCCCCGACGCCGGAACCACAGCGAACATCTAGCTCTGTACAGAGGGAAGCTTGACGTATAAATACCATTTCTTACAAAATTAATAACAATAATAAACAAAGAGGAGCGCCCTCAGGGCGGGCCGCCCCCTGCTCGGCCTGGTGGCTAGGGCGAGGCCGCGGGGGGCGCGGGGGGCGCGGGGGCGCCCGGGGCTGCCCGCTCCGGGCTCCGTGTCCCCGGCCCCGCCTCCGGCAGCGACTCCTCCGAGTCGGTGCGCAGGTCCTCGTCGTCGTCGTCCTCGTCGTCGTCGTCGTCCTCCTCCTCGTCCTCGTCCTCGTCGTCCTCGTCGTCCTCCCCCTCCTCCTCGTTCAGCTCCAGCTCCTCCTCCTCGTCCTCCTGCGACGACTCCCCGGCCGCGGGCCCGGGCGCGGGCGCTGCGGGGCCGTCGCGGGGCCCCGGGCCGTCGAGGGGGCCGGGGTCGCCCGCGTCGCCCAGCTCCAGGCCCAGGCCGGCGGCGGCCCTCTGCAGGAAGAGCAGCGAGCCCCCGGGCTCGGTGCCCAGCGACAGCGAGCTGTCCAGGCCGGCGGCCGCGCCGCACGCGGGGCCCTCGGGGCCGGGCTCCCCTCGCTCCTGCTTCTCGTGCTTGCGCTTGTGCGAGTCCATCTGGGACATGCCCACGACCGTGTGGCGGCAGCCCGGGTAGGTGCAGTGGAAGTGCGAGCACTTGAGCTTGTACTTGCAGTCGGGCACGGCGCAGTCCGCGCTCGAGCTGAACTGGCAGAAGCCGGCCGCGCTGATCACGTCCTGCTTGCCGTGGTGCTTGCGGTGCGCCGTGACCTTGGTGCTGTCGGTGCAGCGGAAGCGGCAGCGCAGGCAGTGGAAGTGCGTGCTGGTGCCCGAGAAGGGGCAGTCGGCGAAGTGGCAGCTGAGCGAGGCCTTGAAGCGCTTGAAGTCGTCCAGCACGAGGTTGTCCACGCGGTCGTGGTGCTGCGCGTGCTTGTACATGTGCGTGCGCCCGCAGAACTTGTAGCCGCAGTTCTCGCGCGTGCAGTGGTAGTGGGTGACCTTGAGCGAGAACTGGCAGGCCGCGTCCTTGCAGTCCTCGTAGAGGTCGAAGCGCCGGAAGCCCTCCAGCATCATGCCCTCGTCCAGCATCTTGCGAGAGGAGGCCGTCTTGCGCCGCTTCCCAAAGGGCGACATGTCCTCGATGATCCAGAAGCGCTTTTTGGCCCCTGAGGCTGTCGGCATGGAGATGGTGTTCCCTGGGGAGGGGCAGGGGAGGTCAGCGCCCCGGTGGGCACCATTCCCGGATCCCACCCACACAGGGTCCCTGACTCTGGCATGGTGGCCAGAGGGCAGCATTTAGGTACAACCCCCTGCCTTCCTGTGGCAGTCAGTGTGTGTGTGTGTGCACGCGCGTGTGTGCTCCCACTACCCCCCCCCCAACGGCCCCGGAGCCCCAGGCTTCCCCCTGAGTCATCCACGTCTGCAGGATGCCACAGGCGTCTGTCCTGGGTGGCAGAGTGAGCAGCTCTGGGGGATGTGGTGGCTGCTTCCTGGCCAGTTTGGGTGGGAAGTGAGGACACGTCCTGGTGCTGATTGAAGCTGAAGGGGGAATCTAGGTGGGCTGCGTGTGATTACCCAAGTTGGACGTGGGCCAGGACGCCATCACACTCGCCTCTAATGAGGGACAGGCGGGCTCCTTCTGCGGGCTCCCCAGCTTCCCCGGGGCCCACCTGTCTGCAGGGGACCAGCCTACTCCTGAAAGGGATGCCAAGCGCCCTGGGGCTGTTTGTGGCTCTAAGTCCTTGCCTCAAGGAGCATCGTCTTCTCCTTGGTACCAGAAGGTTCTTTAAGGTTTTGGGGTTCTCTGCCCGCAGTGAGCTGGGAGAGGACAGTTCTGCTGGGAGCTGGGATTGGAGCAGGAGCTCAGGCAGGGGGTGAGTGCCTATCAGTGCCCCGCCCCCCCCGCCCCAGCTGCCTCCCTGGACTCTGAGTCCCCATTGCCAGAGCTGTCCAATCGACTGGTTGTGCTTGTCACACCTTCCTGGGAAGCACAGCGACCCTTAGAGCTGCAGGGTGAGGGGAGACCAGCCCTGGGCTTCATGGTCCCACACCTGGCACTCCCTGCCCCACACCCCAGGAAGAACAGAGAAGCCCTCAGGCCTGGCCCTACCAGGAAGGGGGTGGGCATCGTCTAGGCTCTTCCCATGTGGCTGACCTGCCTGGAGTGGCAGCCTCCATGGCACCACCCTACCGCACTGCCCATTTGAGACTCAGACACGCACTCTTAGCAGGTGAAGAGAAACCAAGGACTGCAATGAGGGAGTCCCTGGCAGGGGGCATGGGACCCAGGTGGCTGAGCAGTGGCTGCTTTGGGTCTGAGGTCACAGATCTCCATCTGCTTATGCCAACAACGGAGCTTTCCATGTGCTGAATTCCACAAGAGGGGACCCCGGCCCTGCTCTCTGCCGTACTCCTGGGCCTGGTACAGTGCCTGGCACTCAGGCAGAATGTGAGGCAAGACTGAAGGGGAGGAGAGGCAGAGCCAGATGACGACACCATGGACGGGGAGGGCACAGACGGGGCGGGAGGCACCCCTGCCATGGAGCTCTGCCTGGGGCCTGGGCCGCAGACTCTCCCTCTTCCTGCTTGGCTCTGGGACCGGGGTGGGCAGGGGGGGTTAAGGCAGCTGGCAGGACCCTCTGAATCCGGGCAGGTCCCAGGCACCAGCAACCTTCCCAAGAACACCTTCTGCCTCCCTTGTGCCAGGTCCCAGGTGAACTCCCAAGAGCAGAAGGGGGGGCTCTGCCTGGCTGCAGGAAGCTGGGGGTGGGGCAGGCACCCATCTTGGGGCTCTGGCCAGTTGCTGAGATGGGGCAAATCCCAGGGGACCCTGGGCGACATTCTGGCCTGCCCAGAAGCTAAGCAGAAGCGGAGCAGAGCAGACCTCGGATGAGAGACCAGGCTCTCTGGTGTCGAGGGTGCTGGGCTGTGAGGGGCAGAGGGTGCCCCTGTCCTCGGCCAAGCGGGCCACCGAGAAAGGTCAGGTCCTGAGCCCCGGCCTCGAGGGTCGGCGGGGGGGACAGACGCTGGTGAGAAGGCACGTGTGAGTTACCTGCAGCATCCTGAACTAGGGGGACGTCACTTTTTACTGGAGTTGGAGTGGCAGTGACGGGCGGGAAGCTGGGCGGGCTGCTGACGGGGTGGGTCAGGCCCCGGGCGGCTCCGAGAGTGGCACTGAGCAGAGAGTATGAGAGACAGGGTGGAGAAAAGAGGCATGGGAGCGGGGGGAGGGGTGCCCGGAGCACGGCCGGGGAGAAGGAGGGGGTCAGTGGGGGCTGTGGAGCCACGCGGGCAGCCTGGTCACCGGCAGCAGCAGGAGGAGGAAGAGGAGGAGGAGGAGGAGCCGGGCAGCCTGGAGAGGGTGGAGAAAAGCAGAAAAAAAAAAAAAGAAGAAACAAACAAAAAAGAACCAAAATGAGAAACCCAATGGTAGAAGCAAGTATGACATGAAAACATGTGGACAGATGAGGAGCAGAGAGGTGCACAGAGAAGAGAGGGGAGGAGGGGCGGGGACAGAACGGGAGGGGCAGTGCGCAGAGCGGCCACGGGCTTGGCGAGGCCTGCGGCAGAGCCCTGCCTGGGGGGACCCTGCTCTAGGGCCCAAGGACCATGCTGGGGACAACGGCAGAAAGGCCAGAGGAGGTGCCAGGGCTGGGTGGGGCGGCCTGCCGGGCCCTGGGCACCCACAGGCCTGGCACTGGCGGGGGCTGTGCTGCTCTATTCCGTAGCTCAGAGCGGACCAGCCGGGTCCCTGCTGGAAGCGGACCCCGGGGCAGAGTGTGCTGGGCAGGATGACAGGAGGTGGCCACAATGACCCACGTCCCAAACCGGCTGGCTCTGCTGCACACTGGCCTGTCTTCCTTGGAGGCCACGTACCATGAACCTCCTGTCCTAAAATGGGCTCGGCAGTGGTGGCCTTGGGAGGAGGCGCCTGACCTAGGCTGGGAGCTCCCAGGCCCCTCTGCTCCTCCCTGGCCGGCCCCTCACCCGCTGTCCCCTTGTCCCCTGGCCGCGCTCACCTGCTGCTGTGCTCTCGTTGCCCACAGGGGTGCTGGAGCAGCTTCTGTCCATGGTGGACGACTCCGAGGACACGGCGCCTGGGCTGCAGCCCGTGTAATCCATGTACTCATCTGTCTCCGTGTCCATCAGGCTCGGGGGGCCCTGAAAGGAAGCGGGGGCCCTGAGGAAGCTGGGCTGTGGGTTGTGCTGCCCACAGGGGGCAGGCTGTTGACTCAGGTGGCAGAGCCCACCGCCCGGAAGCAGGAATGGGACCCTGGTTGGGGGAGGGGCAGCCTGCCTGGGCGGGGCTCTCACCTGGGAGGGGGGCACTCGATCGAAGTTCTTCCCCAGCATCCTGCGCATGTGCTTCCGGGCGTGGGAGGTCATCTGGTGCTTGAGGAGGAAGGAGAACTGGCAGCCCTCTCGGATGCAGTGGAAGTGGCTGTTCACCTGGTTGTACTTGCAGCCTGTGGACACAGCCCTCGGCCGTGAGCCCCCAGCCGGCCGCAGCTGGGCACCTGCTCCGTGTTGGCACTGTTCTGGGCACGGGGGAGTGGGCAACGAGGCCCGCGCTTCTGGGGAAAGGGCCCTTTCCGGGGGTGGCATTCCCAGGAGGGCTTGGACCCCACCCCACCCCCTCCCAGGAAGTCCCAGGCCACCTGGCTGCCCAAAGCCTGGGCCCTGCAGCCTAGCACAGGCATGTGGCAATGGCAGGCTGGCCCCCAAGCCCTGCCCCAAACGCGGAGAGGTCCGCGGGATCCAGGGCAAGGGACCCTGCTGACCCGTCCACTACGTCAGCCACATCTCCCCTGCCCCCAGACCTTGTTTAGATGGCTGCAGGCCGGTGGCCCTCTGCCCTGCCCCCTCCCACCTCTGCTTTGCTTTGGGCTGAGAACAAACAGAACAGGCGGGATTGAAACAGTATCAGCGAAGGGCAGGTGAAGGCCTGTCGGTTGCCATGGCACCTGAGCTGGCCAGGTGTCTTATATCATCTCCCAGCTTTGTTTGGCCCCAGCTACCACCCAAAACACCCAAAGTTGAGTAAATAACAGCAACTACAGAATATCCTGACACCTGTAAACTGAGCCCAAGAACAGCATAGGCCACCGTTGTTGACATCTGTTGCCATGGTTACCAACCCTCTCCCAGGCCGTGAATTCTTCTTGAATGAATACTTGAAGGAAAGGCTTGTTCCTTGTCTTTTCTGGCAGTTGACTGTGAGTGTCTCGGCCTGCCCCTATGGAAGGGCCTGGGCTGCCCCACGGCCCTGCTGCCATGACCCCCGGAGGCACAACAGGGCTCACCTACCCTGCAGGCGTCTCTGCCCAGCCTGCCCTCCACCACCTGCCCTCCAGGCTCCAGTCCCTTCCTGGGCAGGTTCTTGCCCACACCTGCGGGCCTGTGAACACGAGGCTCCATCCTGAGGCAGGAGGGTAGGCTCTGTCCTGCTGCCCGCTGGGCCTGGAGGCCCCTCCCCACAGCCATCCCCAGGGCACGCTCTGGGAGGCTCTGTTCTGGGGCTCGCTTCCCCGCTGGGGGCCAGCTCTCGGCCGCAGAGTTAACACGAGGCATCTGCTGCCGAGCTCGGGGCCATGTGTGCCTCCTCTCCTCAGCCCCATGGCCACTGTCCTCTGGGCCACCCCAAGTCAGAGAGGCTCTGGGCTTAGCTCGCCATGTACCTGCTTGTCCCACAAGGTCCCCAGCACTGAGCACAGAGCCTGCCACAGAGGATGACAAAGCACCTTAGCTGCCACCCCAGACCTCCTGCAGCGGCAGAGTCGGCACAGCTCCTGAACAAGCGCCTGCTGAATGAATGGATGAACCACCGGGCAGGCCGCGGCTCCCTGGACAGACGCTCGCAGGGAAGGCCGTGGGAGGGGACCCTAGGGCACCACTCCGGGAGCGCCTAGCGCTCACCGGGAAGCTCTCTTGAAAACAAAAGGAAAGGGAACCAAGTCTAGGCCTGGACACCCCGATGAAGCCCCACGCATTTCACTGGGTGGGTGCAGTGCACCCCCTTTTCATGGGCCCTTGGGATTTGACTGTTTTCCTAGTTTGACCATGCCTGGCTTGTGATATCTGTGACAGTTTTAACAAAGCATGGAACCTGATGTGCGGGGGCAGGAGACAGGCGCGGAGAGAGGTGACCGTGGCCACCAGGGCCTCGGGGCCAGAGCCAGGGGCCTCTCACCCGCTGCAGGGCCCTGCCCCCGCCTTCCGTACCTAGCCGGCCGCACTCCTCACGCTTGGTGAAGTACTTGAACCCGTTGGCTGCCCGCCGCTCCGCTTTCTCGTGCTTCTTCAAGTGCCACGGCAGCTTGGTGGTGATGTTGGTCACAAAGTAGCAGCCGGTCCGGAGACAGTGGTAGTGCCCACGCATCCGGAACTCGCAGTGCTGCAGGGAGGAGCAGGAGGGTCAGGACCAGGTAGGCACATTCCAGGAGTCCCGCCTGCCCCAGGCCTCTGCATGTGTGTTGCCCGTGCTCAGAATCAGAAAACACGATCCGGTGAAGACTACTGTGTTAAAAAGCAGTAGTGTGTCCCTTTTGTCATCTGACTAGAACATCCTACCTGGTCTTGGTGCAACCCATCTCTAGGTCCACGCTCACAGCAGACATCACTAATCTATCCCAGCACTTCTCGTCTGCCTAGATCTTGGTCCAGACTCCTCCCTGTGCTCCCCACAAAGTGGGTAGGATTTTATGATGAATTTGACCTGCCCTTCCTATCTGGGCACAGACAGCTCAACCTCGTTATGTGTGCAGTGTGCCTATTTTAAAATCTAGGCCTTTGGGGAAAGGGAGCCTGGCTAGTTCCAGGACGCAGAATGATGCCAAGGGCACAGTGGCTCCCCTGAGGGTTAGGATAAAACGACAGACCTCACCAACTGAGCACCAATCTGAACCCCTGACCAAGGCCGCCAGGGCCCTGGGGCAGACAGCATCCTTCCCAGAGTCTGGAGGAGCCAATTCGAAGAGGGCGTGAGAAAGAGACTCTGCCAGGAGGAGCTGGTCCAGGGGCCTGTGCCTCCCTGCCCCCTGCACCGCCCTGCTCTGCCCCGCCCCCCGCCAGCGCTGACCTGGTTGGGACAGAGGCACTGCAGGGAGTAGTAAGCAAACTGGTCTCGCACGTTCACCAGGTTGTTGTTGGGGTTGATGTGGTCCAGGCAGTGGGACTCGGCCTTGCCGGAGGTTTTGCAGACGTACTTGCAGTTCCCAAAGAGACAGTGGAAGTGGAACTTGTTGGCATACTTGCAGTCCGTCGCGAGGCAAGGATCGCTGGAATGAAACCACAGCCCAGAAGGTCATTGGCATTCCCGGTACCCTCCCCGCCAGTGTCCTGACACTTGCTTGCCTTGGGGTTCTGCTCCCAGTGGTGCAATCAAGAGGAATGGCCCCTGGGCTGCCCTCCTGCTCAACAGGATGATTCAGCCTGCGGAGACTACAGATCCCAGCATGCATTCTTGCCTTCTTTTTGGAGCTCTGAAGGTGTATAAGGGACTACAGTATGCAGGCTGCCCAGAGCATTGCATGCTGGGACACGTAGTTTCCATGGCCACGCCTCAGGATTGTAGATAAGGATGTCTGCAGTAACTTCTTGGATATGAAAATGAGCAATGGTGCTGCCAGCCCTGGCGGGAGGCCAGCGAGGCCTGGCTGTTATGGCACCGGCAAGGCCTTGGTGTGGCTGGCTGGCAGGGTGCAGATGGGTGGACAGCCCTACCAGGAAACTGCTACCACGGGCCTGGCCAGTGGGAATGTGTGCCTGGTGTCAGGTCCTGCTGAGGTTCAAACCGCTGGGGCTCCCAGGGTCAGCTGGGGGCGTGGGGCACCCACCCACTCACAGAACCTCATAAGCCAGCTGCGTGATGGGGCTGGCAGGGGCAGGGGGAATGTTGGGCCAGCCCATGAGGGGCGGCCCTGCCCCAGAGCCCTGCCTCCGGGGCTGCAGACGGGCATGGAGGGGGCTGCGCTCAGCCTCCTGCTCTGGCTGCAACGCGGCTGCTCCCGCCTCGACCCAGGTGGGGACCCTGACCAAGTCTGGACAACTAAGAGGGCTGCCCTTCAGGAGGTGACAGAGGAAAGGGGGGCTAGGGAGGGATGGAGAGGAGTGCAGGTCCCCTTCCAGGCTGTGAGCCCGGCCCCGGGTGCTCAGAGAGGGAGGACAGCTGCCACTCAGGTGGTGTGTGTTCACGTCCAATTTATTACTTTTATTGAGAACAGGAAGCCGCACACATAATCATACAGAGTCACCGTTCTCGCCGCGAGTAGCCACCACCATCCAGTGAGGAAGGTCCCTTCCAAACCCCTGAGAGCTCAGACCATTGTGCAGGTGGATGTGGGCCTGGAGGGGGCCTAGCCCCCTCCCCCCAACCCATGGCTTTGCTTGCCCTGCAGAGACTCAGCCATGGTGTGAGCCAGAGACCAACAGGTGGCCTGGAGGGACAGGCAGCCGTCCTCGCGGCGAGGACCACCACTCCCGGCCACCTACGTTGGTCCTTGCAGCGTCACCACTGGCGCACTGGAAAGTGGCCCCTACCACCAGCGTCTCCCCCGGCCACCTGCTCTGGGAACAGGCAGTGAGGTCAGAGCAGCAGCATCTTTGGCTAGAAGGACACTGCCTGGTGACCGTGTCCCAGAAGGCTGAGGACAGCCAGGGCTAACTGCAGGCTGGGCGGCGCCTCGCGCGGTCCTTGCTAGCACCTACTCCCGAACACGCAGGGCACACGGGACTCCCGGCTCATCGAGGGACTCACTTCTCCTGGAACTGGAGGAATCCGGGTTTGACCTGGGGCTTGGCGTTTTCTAGAGAAGTCGTGGCCAAGGGTGAAGTGGGCAGGTGAGGCACTGACGTTGGAATCTGAGGCATCTGGGGTATGGTGGAAGCCAGCTGCTTCCAGGCGAGCAGGGTGGGGGTGGAGGGCACAGCGGCCAGGCTGGGAGTGGGTCCCTCCAGAGAGGAAGCCACAGCGGTGGTGACGGGAGGCGCCGGAGGGGACGAGGGGGCCAGGGGAGGTTTGGTCTCCGCAGCCGAGGCCGGGAAGGGGGCCTCTGTGCTCCCTTTCACGGCTCCTCCCTCTGTCCGGAAGTGGAAGCTGCAAGAGGCAGAACGGGGGTCTCAGGAGGCGGCGGAGAGGGCCCGGCGCAGGTCCGCCTCTCCCTGCTGCCCAGGCCTGGCTGGGGCCCTGCCTGTCTGCCTCAGGGGCCTGTTCCCAGTGCCAGGACCACCAGCAGCGAAGGACTGAGAGAGCTGTGTCCTCCGATCCCGAACCCCGGCTCCTGGTCCTGGCCTAACTGCCCCACACGGAGGGGCTGTGGACAGCAGGTCCTGGCTCACGGGGCCCATCCTTCCAGAACCTGCTTCAAAGTCTGAAGGTGGGCTCGGCATCTGAAGTCGGCTCTTTGCAGACCAGCAGCTGGGCCTGCCCGGAGCTCGGGGCACTGCTGATCTGGTTTACATGTTCATAAGTTCTGGGTTCAACTGCAACAGGCGCTGGGCTTGCCGCTTTTCGGCTCAGTGGGTTTCACAAATTAATTTCATTATTTTTAGGTCAAAGAGAATCTACAAATGCCATGTTTGGGCTTGGAAAGGCCTTCCCGAGGCCCCGCCTGGGCAGAGCTGGGTCTGCAGGGAGCACTTGTGCAGGGCTGACGGCCACACTGGGCCTGGGGGAGCTCAGAGGACTGGGGGGGGCCGAGCCCACGAACAGGTGGGGAGCGGGCCTGCTTTCGGCAGCACCGGCCGAGAAACCGGCTCAGCTCCCGGTCTGGTGGGAAGCGCACGGCTCTTGCTCCGGAGGCACGAGGGGCTGTGCAGTCCCGGCCGCACCCAGCCGGAACCAAGCATGGGTAAATGGGGCCACCTTTAAATGGGCCCCTTCGAGGACCCCAACTCACTTGGCATGCTTGATGGCCCCGTCCAGGGTGCTGAAAAGCGCTCCACACTCCTCCACCACGCAGTGGAAGTGGGCCTTGTGAAGGAAGTCACACTGGGCGTCGCAGAAGTCCTTGGTACCAAACCTGGCCAGGGAGCCGGCTGGTTAGAGGAGACCCCGGGCTCTGGCGAGGCGCCAGCCACCAGGACAGGCGGGCCGGCCCCCTCCCCCTGGCGCTCCCAGCCAGCCCCTCACCTGCGAAGGTACAGCTTCCAGGGCTCTGACAGCTTCTCCTGAGCCAGCGCCTTCGCGGCCTTGCCCAGGAAGGGTGAGGCCTCCCCGGCGGGGCTCCCCTCTGCTTCCGTCTTGATGTTCAACAGGCTGCCGAGGTTGGGGTTGCCCTGAGACATCTGCAAGGAGACGGGGCCATGCTTGGTGTGGGGGGGCCAGCAGTGGCTCTGGGCCCTGGGCCCTCTCACCCGACCGAGCACAGCAGAGCTGAGACAGGGAGGGGGCTGCCCCGTCGGCTCTGGCGGTGCAGGAGCCCCCTGGATGGACGCTGCCCGGCCTCCTGCACACAGGCCCCGAGCTGCTCGGTGCCATCACTCACGTGAGCCGAGACTCGCGGCTCGGGGCACACGCCAGCCCAGCTTTGCCCAGACTTCGAGGCTCCCTGGTTATTTTCCTGCCAGGTTTTCAAAAGAAGGGCAAGAGGAGGAGGGACGGGGGACCCTAGGATTCCTTGAGAGCAAGAGAAGACACACAAAGGGGCAGAGAGGGAGGGAGGGAGGCTCCTGGGGTCAGACGGAGACAGCTGGATGCTGCCGGGCAAGCAGGGAGGCAGGGACGAGGGGCTGCAGGGGCAGTGACCTGAGAAGGGGACAGAGGAGCACAGAGCCGGCAGGAGGGGAGGCAGAGGTACCAGGTGCAGGGCGGAGGGCGGAGGGCAGAGGGCAGCGGGAGGCTCCTTCCTGCCAAGGGCCGGGCCCGGGCTCCCACCCGCGAGGTCTGGCCCAGGCCCCGCTCCCTCCTCAGCAGTCACTTGTGCTCAGTAACCAAATTAATCTTGCTGTAGTCAAATTTATCATGTGGAGGGGGAAAATATATTTGATATGATGTATAATTTACAAAGACCCTGCATTATTTAAAATAAATATTCCGGAGCGACCTCTGCGGAAGGCGTCCGAGACCATTACTCAACCCGAAAAGTGGAAATTGATGCTTTGCTCCCACTTTGGTCCCCCACCCCCACCCCTCTTTAAACAAACAAAAAATATATAAAATAAATAAATACAATTAATAACGCGCAGTGAAAGAAGTTGGAGGGCTCGGGAGAAGCTCCGGAGCCCTCCATCTGAGGGGGAAAAAAGGGTGTCAGAGGCTGGAATATATTTCTTCAGCCAGTTCATTAAATTAATTTGTAAGCAGTGGCTCTGAAATTATATCCGATGAAAAATGGCCTCAAAATTTAAATGGTACAAACTCATCTTATTAGAGGCAAAACATTAAAAAACAAACACATCTCCCCCACCCCCCAACACAGCTTTAATTTCTCTGGGTGGGGGAATGGGAGGCGTGTGATGGATGGTTCTTACCTTATTCATAAGCGAGGATAAAAGAGATGAATTTGCCGGGACTGCGTGGCCATTTGATTCATTACTGGAACACACAAACCAAGGGGCTTTAGCGCAGGCGTCCGTGGGCCTGAGCCGGGCCCCGTCCCTCCCAGCCCAGCCCTGGGGTCCGGCCAGCCTGCTACATCTGCCTGGGGGGAGATGACCCCTTGGCAGGGGGGCTCGGCCCTGGCCCCTGTGGGCGTCTGGCTCTGAGGGTGCTGTACCCTGAGCCTCCTGCAGGGGGCAGAGTGGGAGGCCCCGGCCTCGCCTCACCTGGGCTCCTTCACAGTCAGGTCTAAACTGCGGTCCTGGGAGGCCTCGTGGGAACCTGGGGCGCCAGCGATCTCACCGGGCTCCTGCTTCACCGGGGCTGGGGGGAACCTGGCAGGGGTGGCCTGCTGCCCATTGCCTACGTGGGAGGGGAGGGAAGATGTGTTAGAGGGGTTGAGGGCTTCCTATGGGCACGCACCAGAACCCCCCAAGGGGAGGGCAGTCGGCCAGGTGGGCTGGGGCCCCTGGGGAGCCCTGGCTGCTGGTCAGCGATTCTCCCCACTGACATGATGGCCTGTGATGCTTACTCCTGTGTGGCAATTCTTCAAGTGATAATTATTGCAAAATTATGTCAAAGTTGTCCAGGCTCAGGGCCTCCTGGAGGAGAAGGGCGGGAGGCTGGGGAGGGGGCTGGGCGGGCGTGGGGGCCCTTCGTTTTCTCCACTGACTGTCACAGTCAATTTGTGGGGCTGCCGCTTAGGCTTTTATTAAAGACTCTGTTAACGCTGAGGGAAAGTGGCAGATCTAGACTGGGAGCTGCGTCCCCTCCGCAGGTCCCCTTCCCCCTGTTGCCGGGGCGACAGCCCTGCCTTCCACTGAGCATGCCTAGGAGGGGCATCTGCTGGGTCAGGGCTATGGAAGCTGACAGCCAATCAGAGCGGTTCAAACTGTGTGACCTCGCCCGTCAAGCTGTCCAGGACGGTCCGAGGCCGGGCGGGGCCGGGCGGGTGGGAGCTGTGGGGTGGGCGTGGGGGAGGCCGGCAGGGTGGGCCGAGGACTTGGGAGTCCGAGCAGAGCAGGGGCGGAAGAAGTTGCTGACAGGAACGTGTCCAAGGAGCCTCTCTCCATCATCCCCCAGGGACTGAAATGTTAATCTGCCCCCAGGCGCTGCAGCTGACAGAGAGCTGCTTCACAGACAGCAAGTGGCATTTTATTAAAAATAAAGGAAGATGAGCCCTCTTCCTCTTTGCTCGACCTTTCTTTTGGGGAAAGGAGAGTTTTCTATTGAAAGGAAGTACTTGACAGTCTGGCCACTGAGCCTAGGGTGGCCTTGGCGGGGCCCCACCCCAGCTGGCAGGCACCTGACCAGAGGGGCGTGGCCCTGCGCAGACCCCATGCCCCTCCCAGGAATGTAAGGTGAGTCACTCCAAGCTGCCAGCTGAGCGCGTCCCACTGGGGAAGGATCGTTTCAGAACTCAGAGTGTCGACATTCCGGCAGCTCTCCAAAGTCACTTGCCCAAGGTCCCCAGGGAAAGAGGGCCCAGCCCCGTCAGGCACTGGTGGCCCTCTGGGAGTCCAGGCCACGGGCCCTCAGTCCTGGCTGGTTTCAGGACAGTCTTGCAAGGAAGCAGGGCGCATGAGCTCAGGGGCCAGACTGCTGGGGTCCGAGTCTCAACTTGACCACCTTCTAGCTATGTGCCTGGGGCCAGACTAGCCCACACCGGTCCACCAGCTCCACAAGGCGGGGCTTCTGTCTGTCTTCTTCCCCACCACGTCCCCAGCACCCGTTCGGTGCCTGGCCCTTGGCTAGCGCCAGTGGTTGTCGGATGAATGAGTGAATGAAGTGAGCCACATCCCAGACCTGAGCCGATCTGCTCAAGGATTTGACTAATGCTAAGTGCCCGGAGGTGGGAAAACGGGAGAGGAGTGAGGGAAACAGAAAAGCCAGAAAATTCCAGGGAAACAGTTCTAAAAGAGCAGAAAACTTGAGAGAGAGGAGGATCACCCTCCTGGAGAGTCATCGGTGGGGACAGAGCTGTGCCTGGCTCCCTGGCTCACACATGGGAGCCAACAGTGTGGCAAAAATGAAAGAAATTGCAGTGAATCCAGTTCCCTGGTCACACTGGCCACGTGTAAGCCGTCGGCAGCCACACGGGACCCGTGGCTGCCATGCGGGACAGTGCAGAAGAGAACGTTTCTGTTGCTACAGAAAGTCCGCTGCACAGGACGCACTGAGGCAGGGCCTGGGAAGGGCGTCCTCGGCCTGGAGGGCTGTGCAGGCACGAACGTCCCTGCTGGACTCACGTCCCCTGCACATCCCCTGGACGAAATCCTAGGGAAAACGGGCTCTGGGACTGCTCCCATCAGGGCTGCACGGTGACCGGGCAGAGGAGACCAGGGTAGGGGGCAGCTGGCAGGTGCCTGGGACACACAGGCTCCCACGAGGCCAGGATTATTGCCCCACTGCACAGATGCGGAGACAGAAGCAAGAGCTGCCTGGGGTGGGCAGGTCAGAATGAGGAGCCCCAACAGGAAATAAACAGGATGGAGGCAGAGACAAGGCAAAGAGGAGGGTCTGAGGGGCGACTGGGGTGTAGGGAGTAGGGCGATGGGTCTGAGGGGTGCTTTCCTGGGCAGGGCCCAGCCTGCTCACCTGGGTCAAAGGTGGCAGAGGGCTTGAGGGCGGCCGCGGCCAGCCTGGCCATCATGGGCGAGATGAGGCCCTTGCTCGCAGAGATCCTCTCCATGATGGAGGCGGGGGGCACCGAGACAGAGGTGGCAACCGCGGGGGCTGAGTCACCAGCTCCCGAGGCGGCCAGAGAGGGCGTGTCAGGGGTTGCTGAGGCTGCTGCCCCAGATGACATGGCACCCATGAGACTGGGGGTGCCCACCGGCAGGGAGGCACTCCCCCTGCCCGGAAGGATGGGGAAGTAGGAGGCGGCGGTGGGCAGGCCCGGGTTGGAGAGGGCCAGCGCCAGGGGGATGGAGCCGGGCAGGCCCTGGGCCAGCAGCCCGGAGATCTTGCTGTTGGGGGCCTTGGTGGCGCCGGGCACGGCCTCGGGGGCGGCGGTGGCAGCAGCCAGGGAGGCGGAGGACTGCTGGCTGGTGGGGGAGGCGCTCAGGCTGGAGTTCTTGCTGCTCAGGGCGGAGAAGTCCACCAGGTCGTCGTTGCTGGACTCCTCCTGCTCCGCGTCCTTGGCGCCCAGCAGCGCGGGCGGCAGCCCCAGGGCGCCCGAGGAGCGCACGTGCCTGCGCTCGTGCTTGCGCTTGTGCGAGGTCATCTGGCTGGTGGAGGTGAAGGTGAAGCCGCAGCCGGGGCGGATGCAGTGGAAGTGGTTGGTGGCCTTGCTGTACACGCAGCCCTCGTACTTGCATTCCTCGTACTTGTAGAACTTCTTGAAGCCGTCCTTGGCGTAGGCGTCGTCCTTGATGTGGTAGCTCTTGTGCTTCTCGATGTCACACTTGTTCTTGAAGGTGAACGTGCAGCCAGGGCGCCTGAAAGGGACGTCAGGGGCCTGTCACAGGGCCTGGTGGGCCCAGAGAGGCCTGCCCGGCTCCCACCCGAGCCCAAGCTGGACACGGAGGTGGAGCCTCTGAGCCGCCCTCTGCCCGTCCCAGCTCCTGGAGGACGCGGGGCCCCAGCCGGCCGGGCCGGGTCCCGCCTGGCTCCCCGGCAGCGGGCCGCACCTGCAGTGGAAGTGTGTGGTCTTCTGCCCGTAGAACTGGCAGTCGGCCGTGCCACAGTCCTCGGTGGCTCGGAAGCGCTGGAAGCCATCGTTGATGAGCTGGGTGTTCTTCTTGTGGAAGTTCTCGTGCGTCATCACGTCCGACGTGCTCGTGTAGACCTTGTTGCAGCCCACCTGCAGGGCCCAGAACGCGGTCAGGGGGCGAGGCCAGGCACCCCGGGCCAGGCCAGGGAGGTGGCTCCGGTGGACGCAGCTGGAGCTCGGGGCCTCGGGCCTCTGACCACCCTGCTCGGGGAGCTCCCGCCCCGCCCCCGTCCAGATGGGGTGACGGAGCAGGTTAACGGAAGAACCACAGTGGAGAACGTCCAAGGAGCTCTCAGGCCCCCAGGGCCTGGCCCTGCCTGTGCTCAGGGCCGAGTTGTCTTCAGGGACCCAGGACACCCCCCGGCATAGGCGTGGGAGGCCCTTCCGTTAGAAGGTGGGTCTGGAGTCCCAGTCTGTGGCTGTGCCTCTAATGCCCCCAGGGGTGGGCAGGGCTGGACCCCGGGGCCTGGTGGTCACCTTCAGCCCCGGGACTGCTCAGTGGATGGTTCCCGGCACAGGGCCTTCCCCACCCCGCCCGGCTGGGCCAGGCAGGCAGCGTTGCCATATTGAGTAAAACCCGGTGGAATCCGCACTCGTGAAGGCTGGGCTGTGCCAGTGTCTGCACCATCTCAGAGCCCAGAGCGCGAGCCCCCCTCTCCGCCTGGCCCAGGTTGTTCCACCGGGGCCATAACAACCCCTGACAAACACCGGGGGAGGCACGACGGCTGCTATTTGCGACCCGAAGTCGCTCCCCCTGGACCTGACACCTTGAAAAAGCCCAGACTCTGCATGGCATTAGAGCGAAGAATTAAACAAAAACCGCCTCAGGAACCATTTGCAATGCTGCTCTTGGTGTTAAAGCCTGAAAAATGTCGGTCTGTATAAACAGCTCGCTGAATTTCACCCGCACCAAGTATGGCCATGGGGCAGGCCCCGCCCTGGCCGAGCCGAGCCCCCAGGACTCCCGGCCCTCCTCCCTGCGGGGGCGGGGCACCTGCATGCAGTGGTAGTGGGTGCTCTTCCCGTTGAGGTGGCAGCCGTGGTAGTACACGCTGCAGTCGTCCAGTGGGCTGAAGCGCATGAAGCCGTGCTGCAGCGAGTTGTCCCGCTTCTTGTGCATGTTGTAGTGCCGGATCACGTCCTGCTTACTGGTGAACCTCTGCCGGGAGAGGGCCGGGTTGGCAGGAGCCCGGCCGCCAGCTGCTGGCCCCGGGCCCTCAGGTCTCCCTATCCATAGCCCTGCTTGGGGTCGAGGCAGCCCAGACCGCCCCAGGGAGGCCAGCACACCTTGGAGGGAACAGTTCCAAGGGCTCCAGAACCACAGACCCCCCTGACCTCCCCCAGGCTCCCGAGAGCCATGCCCGGAGCAGAGAGGGCGAACTGGACCGAGCCTTTACAGTAGGGGCTCTGATGGAAGCATTTTGCCCAGTGCCCCCTGGGGGCTGTGCCAGGCCAGGCTCCCGGGGAGGGGCAGCCCGGTGCAGACTGCCCACTCCCATCACCCTCACTGGCTCCGCACTCACCAGCGGGCGGCTCTGAACACACGTGACCACCTGTCTGAACCTCAGTGGTATCGTCACACAACAGGGCAGTGACACCAGCCTCCCTAGGGCACTGGGAGGACCGATGCAAAGGGACGAGGCTGCCTGGCCGTCCTTGGTGCGAGGCAGACCCAGGGAGTGGTAAAGCAAATCACCACCAGGACCAGATGGCCCCAGGCCCCGCTAGACGCCTTGTGGGCAGGAGCCTGGGAACGCGGACGGCTTGTCTGCTCCCCAAGTTCAGGCAGCCCAGGCAGACGGAGCTGGCATGCCAGCCCGGAGGCTGCGGGCGCGGGCGCGGGCGCGGGCGGGCGCCGAGGCATTACCTGGTAGTTGCACTCGGGGTCGAGGCAGTGGTAGTGCTCGCGGTACTGGTAGGCGCAGTGGATGTGGCCGCAGTGCTGGCTGCCCGAGAACCTGCAGAGACGAGGGGCAGGCTCAGACCTCCGGAGGCCAGTCCCAGGGAGGACTCTGCCGGGGGTCTCGGCCTGCGCAGCCGCGGGGCGTCTATGTTGATGCCCCAGAGAAGTGCCCTGGGCCCTGTGGGAGGCTCCCCAGAGGTGGTATGCTGGGGTGCAGTGGCAGAAGCCCGAGAAGGCCGACGATGACGGAGCCCATCAGGAAGCCTGGAGCCACTGACCTGCAGACCCGTCCCTCTGCCCTGGGAGTGAGGGCCAGGGAAGGCGCAGAGAGAGGCCTGGCACCAAAGTGGGGAGGAAGGACCTAGGGCAAGCCAGAGTCAGAGCAGAGATGGGGAAGAGACCTGGACGGGAAGGAAGGGAGGGTGAAGGCAGGGGCCCCATGGTGACCCACTGCCTCATGTGCAGCTGCTGGGGACCCTGGCTGAGCCAGCCCGGGCTCTGCCGCGGAGACGGCGCTCTGTCCTGGGCTTTCCTGACGCGCGAAACAGTGCAGAGTGATGCATTTTTAAAGCACAGCATCTGTTTGGTTCCCGAGGCAGGGAGCTCTTTCTCCAGCCAACTCTGTAGCCAGGAGCCAGCTGCCTGGCCGCTGCCCACCTCCCAGAAAAGCCCGTGTGCCTTCTCCAGGCCTGGGCTCAGGGTGTGGCTCAGCCTCGGGGACGCCACCCGGGGAGAGCACGCCATGACAACCGCGGAGAAGGTGGCAGGCTCAGCCCGCCTGCCGGGCCAGGATGGCGGGAGACTGCGGGAGAGCGAGAGGGAACCCCCTTGTAAGGGGGAGAACCACTTGCAAATAAATATTTAAGCTGAAGCTGCCAAAAGGGCCATCTGCTGAGGCACTAATAATAATGATAATAATAATAAAGAGAGCAGAGCAAAGCTGAAAGACAGGGACAGGGGGTGGAGACAGAGCGGGACGAAGAACCTGGAAGATCAGCAGAAAGACGGCTGCCGGGCACGGCCCCTGCCGTGTGCCGCCCCATCAGGTGCTGGCAGCCAGGGGCCTGGTTTGGGGGCATCTGTGGAGGTGAAGTCCTTTACCTGCCAATCCTGCGGCCTTGAGGCTTAAAGGGGCAGGTCTGGAGTCAGGTGGTGAGGTCAGGCCTGGCCTGGGGAGCACACTGAGGCCACATCCCCGTCTCATTCCGGCCGGTTCCACAGTGGCCCACACCCCAGGGCCCCGTGTGAGCTTGGAGGGGCCTGCACTCACCTGTGGCCGGGCCCTGCCATGTACCCGTCCTGCCTGGGGTACAAGCTGCTGGGGGGGGCATCACCCCAAGGGGTCGGGGCCTCTGGCATGGGGAGGGGGCAGTCCCTCGGGGAGTGTGGGGCAGGAGTGTGTGGGAATGCGGAGGCAGCAGGCGCCTTGGCACTACTGGCCATTGGACACGTGGTCCCACAGTCCCCAGGCATCCCTGGTGCCCCCACCTTCTCTCCATGGCGGTCCCCTCCCCGGGGGCCTACCTGGCAATATATTTCTGGTAAATGTTTACGTCTTCGGTGACAGCTGGCTTATCTGTGGGCAATCCGTTCCTGGCGAGAGACACAGGGCACAGCCGATTAGCGGACAGGGGGTGGCCTCATGCCCCAGGAGCGTCTGGGGGCAGCTCCCTGCCCTGGGCCCTGGCCCTTCTCTCCCTCGCGGTGCTGTTGAGGCGCTCAGGGTGGGACTGGGCGAGTCTGAGGGCAGAAGCCTGGCAGAGGTTCAGTGAGCTCAACTCCAGCAAGAAGACTAGCTGGTAGGGCTGGAGGGCTCCACCCTGGGCACAGGCCTGGCCTGGTCTAACTGGGCAGAAGCCTTGAGAGTGGGGGCCCGGCCCCCCTTGCACACTGGGCGTCAGGAAGCTGCAGGCTGAGGAGGGGTACCAGGCGTCCCTGGGAAGACCCAGGGGATGGCCAAAGCGGCACCAAGCAAGTGTTGCTCAGTGGTCAGAACGCCTCCCCCACCAGAGGGCGGCCCTCGGTCTGCTCCCAGGTTTGTGGCCCCATCCCCGGGGCAGAGGGTCTCATGCGGCCCCGCACGATCTGTGAACAATCATTTTACCATCGCCCGGGGCAATGAGTTCCAACTTTTTTCATCTCATGGCACACATAAACTAGCTACCAAAATTCTGCGGCACACCAAAAAATATATTATTTTGCTGATCTGACAAAAAAAAAAAAGGTGTAATTCTGACTCATTCACACTGGATAGCTATTGAGTGGTGGCTGCTGTCATTTTTTAGAGCTGACAACCAAAGGGAAAGAGGTCCTGCCCTCGCGCCGTCTAAGAACCCCTGCGGCGCCCTGGCTGGGAGCACTGGCGGGCTTAGCGCTGAGGGTGCCGCCCAGCTCCCCGCCTCTCTGGCTGCCTCCCCACGGCCCAGACTCCACCCAGGAGCCGTGGTCCCCGGCTCGGACTCCAGAAACCCCGACCCAGAACAGGGCCTTCCCAGCCACCATGGCCTCTGCTTGGCCCCGGTGGGGGCAGGGAGAGCAAACGGGGTGACAGGGGCCTGGTGTGTGTCAGCGGATGAGCACATGCACAGGATACCCAGTGTGCGAGACGTGTGTATACAGCAAGATGTGTAGGGTGTGGGTCCATGAACTGGGTCTGAGCACTCACACACGGAGGGACAAGTGTGCATGGACGTGAGTGGAAGCACGGGCGTGAGAATCTGAGTGTGTATCGGTGTGGGCGCACAGGGGTGTGCACAGGGTGCGTGTCCACAAACACGAGCCTCACAGGCAGGGAATGGCCTCAGCTCGGGCTGGCGGCGGGGGCGGGGCGTGCCTTACTTGACAGTGGAGACGGTCCCCGTGGTGATGGAGTCCGTTTTGGAGAAGGTCGACTTCAGGTACTCGGGAGTGTTGAAGGGCAGGGAGGCAGGCGGCTCAGGCCCTGGCCCAGCGGCACTGGGAGCACTGGGCACGCTGGCAAGGGGAGCAGGAGCCAGGCTGGGAGTGGGTGGGACCTTGGCAGGGCCCGGCTTCTGGATGGCCCGGACGTCGTACTTGGAGGGGCGCCCCACCTTGCCTGTCTTGAAGGCGATGGCCCCGCCCATGTCAGGGCTGCCCTCCCCGGGTTTGAAGAGGTGCAGGTACTTGACGTTCTCCAGGTCGTACTTGGATGGCTTCTTGTAGGTGCTCCCGTTCTGGGGCCGCAGGTTCTCGCCCGTCTTCAGCTTCTGGATGAAGAAGTCGTACTTGGAGGCCCGGGCCACCAGGCCCTGCATGGGCACGCTGCTGTGTGAGGGCAGCGGGAGGATGGTGGCCTTGGTCTCCAGGTGCGCCGTGCTGCTGGGCAGCCGCAGGCCCGGCAGGGGGCCCATGGCCTCCTTGCCGGCTCGCTCCTCGGCCTTGGCGCCGTGGGCCGGCCAGGAGAGCTGCTCGCCCGCCTTCAGCTTTCGGATGTACTCCTCGTACTTGGAGAAGCGCGCCCGCTTGCTGAGGGCGTCCTCCGAGGTGGGCAGCACGGAGGAGGTGGCTGCCTCGGGGGCGGGGCCCGCATGCAGCTTCTCGAAGCTGATCTTCCTGGCCAGCTCGTCCCTCGTGTTCTGGTCGTCGTAGCCGAACATGCCGAGGAACTCGGTCATGGTGGAGGCCGCATAGTCCCGCAGCGAGGAGGCCTCTCCTACGGCAGAGAGCACGGCGGTCACCTCTGGGAGGGAGCAGGGGAGCCAAGGCTGGGAGCCCCCCAGCGTATGAGCCCCCACCTAGAGGGGAGGGGCCCAGCCTGGGGAGGGGGCGGAGCGGGACATGATCTATGGACATTTGGCTCACTTGTTAGGTTTTACGACTCTTAAATTAATTTGTTTTAAAAAAAAGTAATTAATACTGGGGTAAAATAAAACGAGTTCATCAATGCCAGGAAAATCAATTTCCTAAATGTTCTGGCCGATGGCTTTTCAGTACATTAAACAAAGTTTCATAAATGTCTCCGCTCTCTCGCCTTGGCCTGATATGAAAGAGAAGTCATCTTACTGGAAGTAAGACCAGGTCCCAGCCGACCTCCAGGGCTGGGGTGCAAGCAGGGGCCGGGGACAGGTAGGGCGTGGCCTGTGTCTGCGCAGTCGGGCGGGAACCCAGGGGCTGAGGGAGCCACTGTGGGTGGGGCTGGGGGTGGGCCTGGCTGAGCCTGCCTGGGGCACCCTCCCTGAGCCCCTCAGATGGACACACACACCTTATCCCAGGGAGGACCTGGCCTCTTGGCCCCACCCAGAACCCCATATTACTAACGGCCCCGGACAATAGGCTGAGGGGGGCAGAGACCCTGTCCATGCGCTTGCTTGGATTCACTTAGGGCCCCCCACCCCAGCCAAGACCTGAGTCCTTCAAACCTCCTGCCACCCTCTGGTCACTGTGCTCATGTACAAGGGCGGGTCACCGTGAGGAGCCAGGGCCAGAGTCAGGGCACACTGCGAAGCCTGGGGCAGCCTGCCCCGGAAACCCGTGCTCACACACTCAGTGAAGAGCACATGCCTACTGCCTCCCTGCACACACACACACACACACACACACACACACAGCCCCGAACTCCATGCCCGGACACCCGTGCTCACACACTCAGTGAAGAGCACATGCCTACTGCCTCCCTGCACACACACACACACACACACACACACACCCGAACTCCATGCCCAGCTTCCTAAGACTCTTCTCAGGATGGTGGGAAGTAAGATGGTCCCATTCTCCCGGGGTTTTCTCTGGAGATGCCCCTTCTTCCACACACGACCTTCCACCCAGCAGACTGCGACTCCTCAGCACACACACGACACTCCTTCCTGCTCGGGCTGAACACCTGCCCTGAGTCAGGGTGGGCACAGGAGGGTGAGACCCACGCGAGCCCCAGGCCTGTGTTCTCTCCGCTGTGTCAGAGCCCGTACACCCAGGCACGCTCAGTGGGAGGACCCCCGCTGGGAAGATGTGGCCCAAGGCGGGGTGGGAGGTGCAGGACTCCGCAGCACAGCAGATGGGGGGTCTCCTCCCGACACCCCCACCCCCCCGCCAGACCACACCTGGAGGTGGTCTCATAGAGCAAGGCTGGGCCTGGGGACAGGAGAAAACCCAGCCGATGTGCAGAGAGCTTTGAGCTCCCGGGAGCAGGGGGACAGCAGTCCTGGGAGGCTGGGACCCCACCAGGTGAGGAGAAGACAGTCATGGGCAGCACCTGGCACCTGAGGTGGGCAGTGACTCAGAGCCCACAGATGGCTGTTCCCCTGGGGGTGGGGGGCAGCCTGTGGGCTGCTGTCTTGACCTGAAGCTGCGGGGGTTGGGTTCCAGCCCGGGAGGAGTGGGCTCTCACTGTTAGATCCAGTGGCTCAGGGACCGGGAAAGGGGCTAAAAATAGCCGGAGGCAGCTGAGCCCACACTATATACGGCAGAGAACAGACGGCTTTGAAGGGCAGGCGGCTTAGAGCAGGGAGGGGCCAGGCCAGGGTCCCAAGGGCAGCCCACAGGCCTGCATTCCTCATCCCCAGGGCCCGGGAAGGTGGCCGGGGGGCCGAGCCCACACTGATCGGCTGGGGCTCTGGTGGATCTCTCCATGGCCCAGGCCCGGGGCTGAGCAAGCCTTCCCAGGTGTCACCGGGCGTCCCACTGGGCCCCACACCAGAGGGCTGAGGCCTGAGGCCACAGGCTGCTGGTGTTCGCAGCCCTGCCTCCTGCGTCCGGCCTTCCACTGGCCAGAGCAGAGGAGGCAGGAGGCAGGGCAGAGCTGGGCTCGGCAGAGCCGGGCGTGGGAAGGGCTGGGACACCAGGGACAGAGGCCCTTGTCCCTGTCCCTCCCTCTCCTCAGGCCCCAGTGCAATCACCTTGTGTCTGGGAAAGGCAAGGGTTTTTCCTATCAGAGGAAACTGAAGGTCACACTTTTCCTCATTGATCTTGCAATGTTTGTTAATTACTCTGTCACTGATGTGGCGAAGGATAATTAAACAGCTCTGTTTATATCTTATATGCATAATTATGTGGCTGCGCAGGGCTCCCTGTGCAGGGAGGAGATGTGCCCCTCACTGCAGGGGGAAGGGGTAGGGGAGCGGGCAGGGGCGGCTCGGGCACCAGGCACAGCTTGGGAAGGAGACTGGGGAGCTGAGGAAAGACCCCCGATCCTGGGACTCCAGTCCTAGGGGTGACTCCTTCCCTCCCCAGAGCAGAGGGGCTCAGTCAGGGCTGCTCTGAGTCTGAGGACCAGGGGACACCAGAAGAGCCGGCCTCAGCCACCTCGTGGAAAGAGGTCAGCCAGAGGACCGTGTCCAGGGCAGAGCGTGTGACGGGAGATTCGGTCCGGGCCATCCTGGGGCCCCGTGCCTGGTCTGAGCGGTCCCGCTGAGGAGAGCCGGGACCCTGGGAGGAGGTGGGAGGTCAGACAGTGGGCAAGACGTGGGGAGTAGGGGGCAGAGTGGGCGAACAGGCCCGTCCTGGAGCCCCCGGAGAACCCTCCCCGAGAACCAGTCTCTGCAGGTGGCCAGGGAGTGGGGTTCGAGATGCTCGGACTGCTGCTCCCAGACGCACACCCTGTTACTATGTCGTCCAACGGGCTCCTCTCCACACAAGCGTGTAGCTGTCTACCCACCACTGTCCATCCATCCGGCTGCCTGTCCACCCACTATTCCTCCATTCATTGCTTCCTGAAGACCTACTGTGTGTTTGGGAGCCCCGACCCCCAGACCTGCTCACATACTCGAGCTGCCTTCTCAGGCCCTTCCCTCCCCTGGTGCTTTGCCCGCACCCCTGTCCAGCTAGTCTCCCCATCCTGGTCACGACTCTGGCCCAGCTCCCCTCCTCAGGGGTCTTTGCTGGGTTGGACGAGGGCCGACATTTGGAACAGGAGTGAGCGAGGTGAGCATGTCCCGTAGACACCCCGCTCCTGCCCCACCGGGCGTCCTCCCCAGGCCACGTCCCCTCGGGGCTCAGACACCCACCTGACGGCTGCTTGGCACTGGGGCCACTGCTGTCCTTGGAGGCCGCCCTGTCTGTGTCCTTCTCCTCCGCCGCACCGCCGTCCTTGGGGGGCTCCTCGCCGTGGTCTTCCTCATCGCTGCAGCCCTGGGGCTGCACCATGTAGACGCCCTCGGGCGGCAGCTCCAGGCCCTCGCGCGGGGTGCGCCCCGGCAAGGGCGTGGGTGCCGGCTCCTCGCTGTACTCTCCGTTCACCCACTTTTCGATCACCGCCCGCCTCTTGTCTTCTTCACTGCGGGGGGTCCGGGCCACCCCCGACTCCGGGCCACTGCGCTCTTTGTCCTGGGGCCTCAGCGGGCTGCCCCCGGCGTGGGCGCCAGCCTCTGCCCCCTTCTCCACCACCACCTGGCGGCTCAGCTTGGCGCAGATGGCGTTGAGCTTCAGGCCGCCTTTGCGCTTGGCGGCCATCGCGGGCTTGCCTGTGGGCGCGTCGGTGCACCGGGTGCCTTCAGCTGCAGCGGTGGAGAGAGGGCGGGGAGCAGGTCAGGCACCGCCACCCACCTGGACAGCAGGGGCGGGGACTGTCCCCAATCCCCCAAGCCAAAGGTCTTCCCAATCACGAGTCGTCACAGCGCGACGAGACTGCCCAGCGCGTGTCTGAACCCCTCTGAACCCCTCATTAGACTGGGCTCTGGGGCCCACGCTTGCCCACGGCTCTGTGTCAGAGCCTGACTCTAAGCCGGGCAACACACCGGCTGGTTCAAGGAGTAATTGGTGAATGAACGAATGAATCAACCTCTTCACACACAAGGGGCAGGCTCCTTCCCAGCACCTGGCCCCTGGGAGCATTTCCTGCGTGGGCGGCCGGGCACCTCGCCTGAGGGCAGGCTGGCCAGGCCCACTGCACAGAGGGGCTCGCAGGCGAGGAGCCGGGATGGGCGCGGCTGGCAAGCCCAGCAGAGGCAGCCTGACTCCGGCCGTGAGCGCCCTCCCGCCGCATGGCCTGCTGGGAAGGGGACAGCAAGGGGCCGGGAGTGGCCGTGGAACCTCTGCCCTAGCATCCAGCAGCACTTGGCTGGCACTGTCCCCACCCGAGGGTCATCCCTGGCAGCTCCTGTGTGTGGTCCCGGGACCCCTCCAAACTCCAGCCCCTGCCACTGAAGAGCCTGAAGATCTCCTGGTCTCTAGCCTTCTTGCCAGGGCCTCGCAGCCCCTCGCAGCCCCTCTCGTCTCCTCTGGCCACTTCCTGTCCCCCCCTTGCTCCCAGCCTCCATCAGGGCACTCCCTACTCCCCACAGCCCTCCAAGGGCCACTCATCGGCCAGTTCCTCAGCCCTGGAAGGCCTGGCCGGTCCCAAGAGCCCACTCCCCAGCCCCAAGGAGCCGCAGGTGCGATGCCTAATCCCTGCACGCGACAGACAAGGCAGCCGCCCCGAAAAGCTCAGGAAGCTGCCCGAGTGCTCCCCCCAGCCACAGCAGGCGGCCCAGGGTCCCGGACGGCATATGGCGAGCCCGCTCACCACACAGCCTGGGACCTGCCACAAAGGCCAACACAGGGAGACGCATACATGTCTGTGGGTGCTTCGGTCTGCCTGTCTGTCCGCCTGGCCATCCTCCATTTAGTGAGCTACTCCTACTGTGTGTCCCTGTGGTCGAGCAGAGGCAGGACGGAGGCCACGCCAGACACGCTCTCGGCTCACACTGACTTTGTGCACAGGGAGCCCCGGCGAAGCTTCTCGATGCCAGGGCTCCCTCGCAGGTCCCCAACAGGAGTGGGCACGTCCAAGTCTCCACATGGGTCAAAGGCTGAGTGAGGGGAAAGCTCCGCCCCCCAGTCCGTGGTTAGAAGAGGCTTCACCATCCACACTCTAAAACCTTCATACCTGCAGCCCACTGAGAGCAGGCAGACAGGGACGGCCACACCTGTGCCGGCGCAGGGGCAGACTTGGCTGGTACACATGCATGGCTGTCCCCCACGACACAGACGATGCCCAGAGACCCTAGATCCTTGCCCGAAGCCAGCCGCCTGGGTATGGCCTCACTGGCTCAGGGCCCGGTGACCTGGTACAGGCCGGCATCAGGGAAGGGTCAGCTTGGCTCACTCCAGGCCTCCCCGTCCTGTGGCCCTGGCTCTGCTGGGCCCCACCCTCGCCCAAGCCGGATGCCCACTGTACCCATGTTTGTCTACATCTCCAAGTCTGTGCTGCCCGCACCCAAGTCTCCAAGCACCAACATGGGGTTCCTTCTCAAAGCTCAGTGATGGCCCCTAATCGCACATCTCACCCAACCATCGGGCCAGCCGCCAGGCTCCGTGACAACAAGTTCCCTCCAGCAGGCCTACGGAGAACAGAGCAGGCCTCACCTGGTCCCCTTGTCCCCTGCCCTGGTGAGGAAGGGAAGGGTGGGAGTGGGGAAGCCTGCTCTATTTTTACTGGGAGGTAAGCAGCCAAGTGTGTATGGCAGACGGCAAATGAATCTATAAATATTTATCCCAAGGAAGAGGGAAGCAGAGACTCCCAGGGCTGCCCTTGCTGCTGGTGACACCCCTCCCTGGGCCCCCACCCGTCCTGGAGCCTCCGGCACTGGGGCCCACCCAGCCCAGCCCACCCTCTCCTGATCTCGCCTGTGCGCCTGGCTCGGTCCCTCCTGGGCCCCTACCAGCTGCGATGCAGCTGTGTACCCAGGGCCCACCCCCAGCCTGCAGGCCCCTTTGCTCCACCTACAGCCCCTACACCTGCCCTCCAGCTGCTGCTCTGCCCCCGCCCACCTGCCTTCCAGATGTTGCCCTCCCTCTGACTCTGCTGTTGGCCCCAGGGGTGGAAGTGAAGAACGGCCTGGGCCTGGGGTGCAGGGCGGGGGGCAGAGACTGGCCTTCCTCAGTAAGTGGAAACGCGTGCGAGGCTGGGGCGCGGACGGGGCGTGAGAGCTGAGATCCAAGTGGCCTGTCCGTCCACCCCATGGGGCCTTCCTCCCCCCCTGGCCCATCAGGGCCCTGGGCCCTGTAGACTACCCCCCTCGTGGCCTGACCCCAGGCTCCTGTCCATGTAAACACTCCCAACTTTCTTCCCTGGAATATAAACGCCGTGGCCAGGCCTCAATGGGAGGAAGCCATCCGTCCCGGCCCTGTCACTGCCCCTTTCATCTCCTTCCCACCACCAGCCTGCCCGCTGCTCTATTTACACTGGACACTTCCTCTGGGAACAATGCTGCCCGGGAGGCAGGCCTGGCCTGAGGGTGGGAGGCGGGGGACTCCCGTGCTGCTGACCCAGGGACGGCGCCCCCAGCGAGGGAGGGGCGGGCCAGCTGTGCCAGCCCAGGGGCTCTCCCGGCCTCCAGCCTCTGGCCCGGTGGCTCTGCCCCGGGAGGTGGCACAGCATCGTGGTTATGGCCTGGCCTTGGGGGTCAGACAGTCGTGTGTTCGTAGCCTGGCTCTGCCCCATGCTGGCTCCGGGCCCTACACAAGCCTTCTCCCTGTAAAGGGGCCGTAGGACTGTAAGGTCACAGGTGCCCGTCTGTGCCCCGCACAGGGCCTGGCAAGCAAGGACCTGGGAAAAGGCAACTGAGTCCCAGGAGGGGACAGACAGGCAAGCGTGGGCCAGACCTGGGCATGAGGAACCAGGAACCCCCCTGGCCAGGAGAGGTGGGGAGAAAGGAGAGGCGAGAGGGCCGGGCGGGGCGGGCTGCCTTCTCAGTGCCCTACGGCCCCTGCCCGGCTCCCAGGACCTGGCCCTTCCCTCCCAGGCGCACACTGAACAAGCCGCCCCCAGGCGGCTCCCAGCCTCTGACCCGAGTAGATCCTGCTCAGGGCAGACAGGAGGGCAAGGCTGGGCCGGCCTGCCCCGTGATGCCTCCTAACAAGCCAGCGTGGCGGGGGCTTCACTGTCCCATCTGAACAGGGAGGACACCGATCGTGGAGCCGTGAGGACACCCGGAGCCTGAGTCCACAGATGCCAGGGGCCGGGGCCACCATGATGTCCCCACTGAGGCTGCTGGGTGGGCTCCAGGAAGTCCCAGGCCTCCCTGCTCATCGTCTCCACACCCCCGCTCCCTACCCCAGAACACAGAGCCCCTAAAGTGTTAACTCGATGGGTAAAATGGTGCAGCAGATTGCTACAATAAATAATTTACTGATATTTATAAATATTCAAATCAGCCAGCTTCAGAAATCGAAGGAGGGAGGGCCTCAGGAGAAAGGCCCGTTATGGCAGGAGTCTCATTGCCCCTTCCAAAGGCTGGGCAGCGGGGCTCCTGCGGTCTGGGCCAAGGCTGGGCTCCTGCAGCTGCCCCTCGGCCCCTCCCCCTGACCTCTGGGACTAAGGTGCTGGGGGTGAACCGGCTGCCCCTCCGTGCCTGGTCAGGGCCAGGCCTTCCCCGGCCCTGGGCTCAGAGGGAGCGGAGGCTCCAGTGCCCAGGGCCCAGTCTCAGATTCGCTTGTCCTGCCTTGTGAGGGGCAGTCCCCAGGGGCTGGGCAGGCCTGGCAGCCCCCCCATGAGTAATGTGTTTCGAGGCTGGGCGGGCTGTCAGCTACCAGGCTCTGGGTGCTTTATGGTCTCTGCCTGGTGGCTCTGAACTCCCTGGTAGGAAATAAAGTTCTCCCTGCGCGTCCCTTCTAAACATTTCACTCAGTGGAAACGGTGTTTAAGAAAAATGAGGACATATTTCTTCCTAAGGATGCAGTGTCCCCTTTGGGCGGCCTAATGCCCGCTGTATATCAGGAGGTGGTGAGGCAGGGCCCAGCACCCGTCCCCTGGGTGGGGGTGGTCCAGGGCTCGCCTGCTTGCTGCCGGGCAGCGCGGGGACCACGGGTGCCACGGGGTCACTCTGGTGCTGTCCTGGCGTGGGTCACCCACGCTGCCTAGAGTGATACAGTAGCTGGCGCCTCTGAGCACCCCCTGGGGCAGGGGATGGTGCTGGGCACTTCACAGTGTCACCTCAGTGACCCCCCAACATCTCCACATGGCCATTGTCCTGTCTCCGTGTCCAGGCGAAGAAGCAGAGCCCAGCGAGGCAGGTGACTGCCTGGGTCACCCAGTGTCAGTGCTGGAGCCACATTACTCCTACTGGGCTCAGACGTCCAAGGTCACGCCTGGGATTCCGCCCCCACACCTCCCACAGCCTCCCATCCAGGTGCAGCAATGTCAGGGCCTCCACCGTGCTATCCCTACGAACTTGAACTTGACAGGCCACAGCCCCAGTGTCCAGGGCTCTGCCCACGTTCGCCCATCACACTCTCTGAGCACGTTCTCCAGGCCAGGCCCTGGGTGGAGTCCTGAGGGTACAACATGAGCAAGACTGCCTGTCCTGTCCCTGCATCATGGGCTGTTTGATTTAGAGGGGCGGGCGGTTATGTCATTACAAGCAAAATCACGGTGGCAAAAAGTTTAGGTGCCACAGGAGCCAGGAGTGTGGGAAGCAAGGAAGGATTCCTGGGACATCGGCTCCAGGCCCTGCTCCCCGACAAGCTCCCAGGCGGCTCCACTGTCCCTGCCTGTCTCTTCTTCCCCAGCACACAG